ATGTACGTAGACTGACAAATATGCAGGCAAATATTAGCGTATTACACACACACACACACACACATCCACACACAGAAAAAACTACACATACGTACACACAAAACACACCTACACACAAAAAACCACACTCACATACACACAGAAAACACAGACACACACAAACAAAACAGCACTTACATACACACAAAACACACCTACACACGCACACACAAAACCAACATTATCATCAACATAAACGTCATGAAGAAATGAAGAACAACAACAACAACAACATCAACAACGTCACTAGCGTCGTCGCCATCATCACGATCTTCCTCATCTCTGCTTCTATTGTTCAACCACCCAAAAATGGAAGTGTGTGTCTGTGCGTGCAAGCCCGCCTGTGTGAATTTACGTTTTGTTTGAATATTTAAATGTACGTATCTACGCTGGCCTGTGTACACAATCGTACGCATACACTGTCTGTGGAATTTTTTTTTACTCACCTCATCATCTCCTCCATCATTTCCACTTCATCACTCTCATAAGTATCATCATCTCCTCCATCAACTTTACCTTACTTTTTCAAAATGATTATTGTACATTTATACAACCAGCAGTGTCACCGGCCCCATCCAAATTGTAATTATTAATTATTAATAATTATTATTATTAGCATAATTATCACATGACACATCGCACATCATCACCGTCGTCATCAGGTCACATTCAAGAGTGTAGCAATAGAGAGAGCGTTTTAGTTACAACACAACACAACACAATAGCTGCAGCAGCTGGAGTAGTAGCAGTTGTTGGGAAAACTAGTAATAGTAGTAGTAGCAGTAGTGCAGTAGTAGTAGTAGTGGTAGTAGTAGAGGTGGTAGTAGTAGTAGTATGTAGTAGTAGTAATAGTGGTAGTAGTAGGTAGTAGTAGTAGTAGTAGTAAAGTAAAGCATTTAATCTTAGCAATTGAAAAATCATTTGTTTGTTGGTTCGTTCATTCGTTCGTTTGTTAGTTCGTTTGTTTGATGTTTGTTTGTTAGAAACGTGGGAAAACATTGTTCTATGGCAACAAAAATGTTTTCGCCAACATCAACAACTCAATTATGGTTATTGATGTCACCATTGATGTCATTTCATTTCAATCATCATGGTGATTAGCAATCAAAAGTGCACCAACACTGCACTAACATTATGTTAATTAGTGTTATTTATTATTGTTGTATTGTTCGTATTGATACAATGTCCATGAAGGGAATAAGGCGTTCATTGAAGTGGAACATGTGATCTACCTATATTGACATACACCCATGTACCTACCTACCTGCCTACCTACCTACCTGCCTACCCACCTGCCCTACCTGGTATCTTACTTACAGCAGCCGGAACAATTGTTGTATTGTACATCTCTGAATGTATGCGTACGTGCACGAATTATTGCTTGCCATAAATGTACAAGAGCATACACATTTGCATATGTATTTAGAATCATTCCTGAATAGAAACCATTGAAAACGGAAAGGGAATCAAACAGGAATAAACAGTATACCTAAATGGGGATGTTTCTATGGAACTTTTATTAAAACACACCTACACAAATAAATAAGCACGCATAAATTATTTTATGACATACACGCGTACAGACATGCACATGTACACACACACAAATGTACACACACACTCACACGTACACACAATGCTCAATCACGCAAGTTACATTTGCACTTGTATTTTTATCCATGCGTGTCGACCTGTCTCGCTTCAAAATTTCAGGCATACAAATGCACGCGCGCACGGAAAGCATTACAGACTGTTTTTTGATATATACAATTAGGCATAAAATTACATAATTTGTAAAAAAATATAATCTCGTTTGGCAATAATATTTGAGTAAGTTTTTCATAGAAAGTCTGTTGTATTTGCATCAAATCTTTTGCCTTGCACTCAGCTGGTCGAGGCAATTTTAAAAATTTTATAATTTAGTATTATACATAACGTTTGCCTAATGTTGTGACTTTTTTTAATGTCAACAATATTCAAATAATATTCAAAAGAATCAACCAACACAAATACGGTCTACATGTACGTGATTAAGCACCAAGCCATGCATGCATCACACGTGTTGCATATGGTAGACGGAGATCTTTTTTGCATTCTGATCCAGTCACTGCAGGACCAGGAGCTGACCCAGATACGCAAATATGATCAAACGATGAGACTCACATGTTTACCTATAATCATTAACAGAAGAACGTTTGACTGTCTCCATTCACAACACAACTTTGTTATTTTAAACATCTCTATGCACCTAATCTGGTCTTTTTTATTGTGTAGAATTATTAACTTTAGTCTACTTTTGGAAAATAGAAATATTTATAGTTTTTAAAATTGGGTAAATCCAGAATACAATGAAGCAATTATTCAAAACTGAGTTCGAAACTAAACGGATAGTTATCACGATTCCTACTTCACAATTTTTTAATGATCTTCGTGATATTTTGCAGATTTTCCAAATGATGTCTTAACAGCTGAACAAATCGCTCTTCATCGAGAAACACAAAATTGAAATCAGAGCATTTGAACAAATTATCATAAATTATTTTGTTGAAAAAACAAATGAGACAAGATTTTTATTCGGTGTAATCTGGCTGACTGGACATCTGTTCACTAGTCTGTTCCAGCATTGAAGTTGTCATTAATATTGATCAGTTATCATTTGGATTTTAAAAATTATTCCTTCGACAAACCTGTAGGCAAATTAAAACGTTTTGATTTATAGCCTATCAAGTTTATATTGATAAAATAATTGGTTGTTTCAATTAAAATTTAATTTAATTCGGTTGTTTCATTGTAATCATCTTGATCTGATTAGTTAGTTGAATACAAAACAAATTGCCATTGAAACAAGTGCAGAGCAAACTGGTGGAACAACTGTCCCGACTTTCACTTTCAGCTGACGAGAACCTGTAAGACATAAAATGCAGAAAATATATCTGCTCGTTTGGAGGTTGGAATTAGGCGTTTTTTGTTTTCCATCAATTAAGTTGCGAATTCACGCATCGAGAAGTCTACCGTTAAAAAAACCACTCCTATAATTCATGGCCTTCATTCGTTTCTAATATTAAATCTTGATCATAATTCTAGAGCAATTAATGTGCAACTGTAGTTATGTGCTGTGCATACATATATAAAGACACACATTCTAGACTCATATACACCCGTATGTATGTATCAAATTATATAATTATAAAAAATAAATTTGTTCACCATACAGATAAATTAATACAAATGTTTACACATGTATACAATTAAATATACAGAGATAGACAGATCGATAATCGGTAACACGACGGTGAGAACACTGTTTGCTGCTGTTATAAATCCTCTTGTTAGGTTCATTTTAATTAGGATTCAAATTTCCATGATAATCTCACTTCATTCATTGAACGCTTAACAACGCCCATTTTGTTCATATCTCCTCAGCCTGTGCTATATCAGTGATAAATTTATTCATAAGTTAATTTTACGTCGAAGTAAGCATGCAGTCGCGTTGCACAAAAACACATACTACGTCTTCAATTACAAATACCCAACGCTTTTCTTATCAAAATTTTCAGTAGTTCAAGTTATTCTTCGCAAATCCCATCATTACAATTTAAAAATTATATCAAATCACAATCTATACAAACTACTTATTCGCTGGCAATATGGATCTCTCAATGAAATGGCAGATCCTGTTACTTCGGAATATTTCGAAACTACATCTACATGACATAGCAGCATAAAACTACTAGCACGAGGTAGCTCATTCATTACAAAGACAAAGGTTTTCTCACAAAAAATTACCTTTAGTTGTGTAACTTTAAAACATGGATGGACTGGCGCCACACGGAAACAATGAACCACCATACTTTACACGTGGATTGAACTTTTTAATTTTTTGCTTTTACTTCATCTTAACGCGAAGTTGTCCAACAGTTTATGAGAACATGATTCAACATTTAAGTTACGATATTGTTTTGCTAAAACAAATTTTTATTAAAAAAAATAAATATTACAAAGCAAGTCGAAGAATAATTGATAAACGTCAAGAATAAATTATAAATGACAAACAAATTAGAGAGATAAGGCTACAGTAACATTAAAACAATAACGTTAATAAATTATAAGTCCACATTTTCAGTCAAAAATTTTCATTCAGCGCGTTTAAAACATGAAAACATAAATGCGTGGGAATCATTTATTTTGCAGTAACAAAATGCAACAACGGCAAACAAAAAATATGAGTTGCGTTGTTTTTCAACTTTTTAATAAATATAGCAAACTACCACGTATCAGTATGAGCTTAATTTGCCTACATCATGTAACACATACATGATGTATCACGTAGAAGATCATCCATAGTGGGAACTGTAGTAATGAGAAGTAATAAAAACACGTTCAAGTTAGTTGGTTGGTTGTTTGGTTGGTTGGCTGGTTTGTTCATTTATTTGTTGTTTAGCATGTAAAGTGAATAATTAATTTGAATGCTGATACATAGTAGCATTGAACTATGTATGTTGGGAAGAAGATTGATGATGATTGGTCTTGTTTGTTTGATGTATTGTAGCGAAAGTGAGATTCTAACTGGGATATGCAACCAGAAAATTTTAATCTTTCTTACTATTTCTAAATTATGAAAGTAGATTGGCGGTTTCAGTTGTTATGTTTAAATGTTAAACTCAAGTTGTAGATACACCTACAAATTAGCTTTCTATAAACATTAGACATTGAGTAACCACCTAGCAACGCCCAGCTAACAAATGATATGTGTGAATGTATTTAAAATAAATATTGAAAAACATCATTATTTTGCTGATATTTTTATTTTTATATGACGTTCATTCGATATGGTACCAATGGCTGTTTTCACTACTTGCATGCACAAAACATGTTATTATGTTACTGACTACTATCAGAGTTTTTATTTAGATACAAGACAAAATAAGTTATAAGATGAGATAGGGATCAGATGCCATCACTAACTTGTCATCTTGCCAATCATCCTCAATGTTGCAAGTCGTTGGTACTCTGGCTCCTGCAGCCACTTCCACATCCGCCTGAATGTTTCTCTGCCTGATTTTAACTTGCTCCACGGTTTTGGGTTCCTTAAGAGATCGCTAAGGGTTCCCTGGCTTCGACAGAGAACCTGTTGAGCGAAGACAGATTGTGGTATGCTGTATCTTTTCAGTTCACTGCCAATCTGCAGAGCGACCTCTCGAGTGTTCAATTTCTCACCGCAGTCATTCAGATCACCACCATCATTGGATGGAGATGCAAGGCAATGCATTGACGATTGTTGCTGTTGTTGCTGCTGATGATGTTGTTGTTGTAATAGAACTAAATTGTTGTTGGTGTTGTTGATAATAGCGTTGTTATTGTTATCGTTATGGTACTGGCTGTCTATATTGTTATCATTGGACAGACTTTGTAAGAGGATGTTTCTGTTTTCGTTGTATAGAGATGAAAGTGAAGCTTGCACAGACTGAAAATCTTGTTCATTTTTCTTCATCTGGTAGAGACCCTCAAGTGGAGGCAGCAACAAAGTACCAGTGGTTGATGCCATGTAACTAGTTCCCCCCCCATTTGCACCGATGTATAAATTATTTTGTCCTGATTGAGGCTGTAAACCCAGCAACTGCTGCTGCTGGTGGTGGTGATGATGTAGATGGTGATCTGTGTGATGATGAAATGAATTACCAAGTGTTAAATTGTTACCCAGAGCATTTGGAATTAAATATGGGTTGGGCTCATTGTCGTCATACAGAGAATAATTTGGGGCATAACTAGCCAGAGGTGGTGATGAATGGTCTTGTGGGTTAAACCCATTTGTGGGAAGGTTCCCTAATAAACCATGATGTGATTCTGATATTGTTGCTATGGAAGGCAGTGGATGAAGAGCAGTAAAGTTTCCAGAATATTCTCTTTGAATGTTGTATCTTCTGTCATCTGATGATAGATCAAAATTAGACAGATTAGTAAATTTTTGTCCTGTGTTGAAAACAGTAGGTGTTTGAAAATCATTTAGAAACCCATCATTTTCTTGTTGCTGTGTGCGATTATTTGAAAAGTTTGAAAAAGATTTAACATCTTGTCCACCAATTTCCAACTGTTGTTGCTGTTGTGTGCGTACTTTAAATGCAATTTCATCAGCCGTTGAATTAAAGCTATTTGTTGGATCTACTGATCCACCGATAAATGTGTTAGCCATAATAACAATATTTGTTTGCAGGTACAAAAAGTTCCTTCTCTTCACCTCATACACAAGAGATGAAACTAATAACAAAAATGTTCAGTACCATCAAAATCAGGGATTAATAAATTAAAAATGTATAATTTTAACAATTTTATTTAACATTCTAAATTTTTAATTTAAGAACTTGACTCTAATGAACTTTATATTTTATGATAACAACAACTTAGCCATTTGTTTTTATTTATTATTCATTAGCTTTAATAATAAAAATGTGAATAATTAATAACTTTTTTATTAATTAATTTCATTAATTTAAATGTATTGTATAACAACCCATAACAAATAAATGGTAAAATCATTGAAGAAAAAAAACTTAAAATTAAAACAGCTTGCCAATTTTTTATCCAAAAAAAAGGAAAATCCTGAAAAAGATTAATCGAATGCCTACTTTTTATACTTTATTTTAACTTAAACCCCTAAAACTTCATCAGCTTAATTTACGTGGATTGCCATAGATATGCTTGAGGAGACAACATCCAACATTTTTAAAATGATGTATAGAAAGCCCCAGACACACAAACGACACGTACGAATGTTATTCATATAGAATCAAATGTTTGAAACTATATAATACAATTGTGCAACTTGTATATAACTGTTTGTATAATTATACATAGAACTCATTATTAATTTATATATGTTAGCATTTATACAACTAAAAAGTATAACAGATACATGTATTATTGTCCTTGTGCTTATTATATATACTACACAGCATATATAATCTGCACGAATAATTTATATATGAATTATATATAAATATAATATGCATATTATTTGAGGACTAAATTGCAGCGTGCGTTCGGTGCAAGCGTTTACGCAATTACGCATCAGCATGCTTTAATTCAATTTTACAGGTTTCTATCTTGTTCCACAAAATACTGAAAAAAAGATTTAACTTATTCTACATAAACGCTTCAAACGCTTACAAGGCTAACCTGAAATACACGTACGCCAACCAAAACCATTACTATGTTATTTTAAACTCAAACAAAACAGAAGATTGATACTGCACGCTACAATATTGCACCTCTGGGAATTTTTACAACCTGCAAAATTGAAAACTGCCTCGTTTTGATAGTCGAAATCTTACTATTGTTAAATTGTTGTGTGAACCAGGCAACCTACTTTTACCTCAAACTACAAAACTATGAATCATAATTAGCCCATTATTCTTCGATCATTCCGTTACTTTTGATTTATACACTAAGATTAAAGTAAATGATAACAACTGAACAAGTTTCTTTTTCAAGAACATGTTTGTATTTTGCGATATTTTAAAAAATAAAACTGATGATATAATAAATAAAAATCCATAATGAGACAAGTGGTACCTTCAGTGAAGGTAAAACAAAAGCAACTGTTTGAAACTGTCATTAATAACCTATCAAGGAAAAATAAATTACTCAAAAAGCGGGATTACGCGTTAAAATTGTTAATAAGTTTCAAATAGCAATAACGATACCTACAAATATAATATATCGTAAATTACAAAAATAGAGAACGTTTTAAAAGAGAACATCTTAAAAGAATAACAAAAATGACCAACATCATGCACCATCACTTCAATTACTTTTTATATTTTGAAAACTGCTGTCCATTCGTAATAGCGTGAAACAATTCAACTCGTTTATGAAACACAAAACTGTTAGCATCAGGAAACAGCAGCAGCCTAATCTTCAATGAAATCAGATTGCTACATCATTAACGTCTGTCCTGCATTAATAGACTGTAACAATCAGTTTTTAAGTGAAAGCAAAAGTACCAAATAAGTTTTTACATATAACAATAAAATTTTACGTAATGAAAACATGATTAAATTTCACATCGTGAAATAAAATTCCATTAAAAGACCATCACAACAACAAATATACTGATATATATATAAATTATGATAAAAAGATCTGTTGAAGAAAAGACCAGCATGCCAGAAATCATTATGATTTCAACTTGACTAATGGTATGGATCGCGTTGCGAGACATTTGTCACACACCCACTCGGCAAAAACCTCCTTTGTAAGGTGAGTGTAGGCCATTTCAGTGAGACCAGCACAGGTTCTGTGGTACCAAAAGTTACAGCCACTCTCACAAAAAATAGCCTGGTCGTTGTCATGAATTTCTTTATGACAATTACCACAGGGGTATATAGGAGGAGCATTTGGGTTTGCCGAGTTGAAAACCATCACCTGATTAGGTGGGTAAATTCTGCCTGGTGGGCCTCCCATAGGAATCATGTGATGCATCATGTTAGGGGGATGTGGACCCATGTTTGGTGGCATACCAGCCATGTTAGATCCTGGCATCATTCCGCCCATTGGTCTAGGCATATTTCCACCAGGAAACATATTTGGTGGCATTTGTTGGGGTGGTATTTGAGGTCTAGGTCCTGCCATCATGGCCCCAGGGTGACCAGGAGGAAAAGGAGACATTGGCATGTCATTTGGAGGATGCTGTGGATTTATCATTCGATTTTGCATGTGTTGCTGTTGATCATCAAACATGTTTGGAGGAATGTTAGGAGGTTCACTAACTGGACTGAACAACTCCACGAGGTCAGCTTCATTCTGTTGCTAGTCATTAAAAAATTTATTTCAAATTTGTTACTTTTGACATTTTTAATATTATATAAATAATAAGCTCAATAATGCTTCAATAAAAAATACTATTTCAGGTATAAAACTCAATACAATGGTTTATAATATTAATATGCATTCAGATGTTTATACATGCCCATGCAAACAGTTCTACATGACTATGAAATAACAAATTAAGGATTCTGAATAGATGGATTTAAACTAATCATTAAGCATATAAATTCTGTAAAGTTTTTCTGTAACACATTTTAATTAATGATAAAAATTAGACCAAACTAAAAAAAAAAGATTAATTACTGATTGTGAATTTGGTGGAAAATTTGGTTGACCAGTTGAAGCACTTCTAGGTGGCACAGATCCAGGACCGTTCGATGGCAATCGACCATTGTCCCCATTTGTCAACTGGTCTATCCGTTGAATAACGAAAGTAAATAAATTTGTGTATAAGTAATGATTTTTATAATAATTTGTAATTTATTTTTAAACCCAAACAATCCCTGTAAACATAATCTTTTCAATCAAACAAGCATCCATTTGAAATAAAATCCAAACAAAACTTTTGACATCTTTTTACTTTTCACACTTTTTTAACAATCGTTTGTTACCTGTTGGTCAAACTCACATGATCAAAAAAGATGTGGTCAAGATTTTGTCAAGTTTGTAATAAAATATGAAGGAAAAAGACTGAAAAAAGCACGAAACAAAGCCATACATTCAAAATAAAGTGCAGATCAGATCTCCATTATTTAGTTTTTTTTGTAGGTCTGATCATGATTATTCATGTTCATACACTCATTTAATTTTTAATAGTATAAATAACATGTGCCTACATGGAAAAAAAATCAATATAATATTTAAATATTCAATTATTAAATCTTAGAATAAAATTAAAAAATGAAATAATTATTATTTTAATTTCATTTGATTCATAATTCCATCCACTCCATACCATTGCTCATTGTTCAAATATTTATTCATTATTATTCAAATCAAACAAAATTCTGAAATTCAAGATAAATAAATTCAAATCAATTTAATAAATATCAGAGAGATGAAGTACCGTTTTTGGCAGACTGCTGTCTTTCTCTTGGCATGAATCTGTTTTAACTTTTAAAAACTTAACAGAGATGATATATATAACGAAAATTAGCAACAGATCATCAACTAGCTCTCACATAAACAGGCGGGCGTGAAGCTGGCAACGATAGAGTCGGGGCAACAAATATTACAAACGATTGCATTGTATAGAAGAAACAAAACGGCTTGCTAAAATTGGTTATATTCATTAAAACAACTAGATCACCCTAATAGTCCTCATATATATATATATATATATATATATATATATATAGATTAAAATAATAAAATAAAATAGATCATCCTCATGCGTTCAGTACCAAATATAAATTGGACATTGTCCGAATTATAAATTGAAAATGCGTATTCTGAAAACGGATTTAAATTTAATCAAATTTTTCATTATTCTTCATACGACGATAAGACCATGCGTACGTCGTTCTATAATCACTTTACTTTTTTATTTTTTCTCATCTTTCCTTAACTTTTTTATTATCCTTCGGATCAGAGAGCTAGTAGGTAATAAGTTATAAATACATAAAGTTTCGCAATTTATCCTTACCATGTCACACTTCTGTTGCAGTCACTTCAAACATGCTTCAGACCAGATTTGGCGTGGAAACATGGAAGTATAGAACCAAAATAAGCCTATCGTATTTTCCCTGTTATAAGTATACATTTGTACAATTCCTATTCTGAAATTTCGTCTTTCGGCATTCATGAAATTTGATTTATTTAATAATTCACAAAGCAAAGTTATTGAAAATTTTACCAAATAAACTAATTATACAACATTTTTTTAAGTGCATTGAAAAAAAAATATTTAAGCATATTTTATTGTGAAATTATGATGAAGATCGTTATTTTGTCTGCTGTTGGTTTTCATACACCATAAACAGTTTTTTGTGCTGTCGAAAGAACCATGTACTTTCACACTGTTCATTGAAGATGTTCTATTAAATGTTCTATTATATGTTCTATAGATGGTGCAAGTTTTAAAATTTAAATTAGTTGCTATGTAAATACCCGTCAGAAAATTTACATTTAATTCATTTCTATAAATACCAAACACGTGCAATTAAAAATATTTCTAATTAAATATTTTAATAACAATTTGTGAATATTTGTGAATAAATCGATAGCCCCAAAATGAGGACAAAACTCAAATTTCATCCGTTTAAAAAAACTCGAAGCAACGCGTGACAAAAAAATGTCGCAGTAGTTTTATTGAATATTTTTTGATCCATTGTTTTATTACATATTTACTTAATTATTTTTCTTTTTTTTTCCTTTTTTATATATACAACCTTTAAAACGTAAAATGATAAATTTTTTTGTTTTATAATTTGAAAAAATCCTCATCCTTACTTTGTAATTTTGTGTTATAAACTGATCAAATTGTCATTTCAATAGCTTAACCGTAGTTTTAAAAAATTGTAGCCACATAATAAACAAAATGTCTCTTGTCTAGAAGACCAAATGAAACTTTAATTTTGATACTAAAACATTCATACAAAAAAAAATCTTATTTACTGATCGATTCCTTTCTACCTGAAAACTTTATATCTATAAAATTATTTTTGTGCTAAGTGCAAAACATTGGTTCATCTCAATGGGGTGCGTTGTTGGTTATGCATGAATTGTAGAAACTCATTCCTATATATCGTGCAATATGTTAAACATGTATTATGTTGTATGTGTGTATAAATGTTGAAAGCAAAAGTTCGATATGCAATGTCAGACTTTTTTGTCATTTATTTGAATGAAATCGAAGCTAAATCTACAAATATAATGTAATATAAGATATTTTTGGAAATGGAAATATAGTGAACATTTGAATTTCAGTTTAGCACAAATGAGCCAGCTCCGTGCGATTGTTTCAATACTTTTAGCGCTGTCATCTTACTCCTACGGCCAAGGTATCCAGTCTTAGGATTTATTTTAATCACATTAAAATTAGGTACGTGGCACTTCTTGAGTAATTGCGGATTTAATAGTTGATTTTATCCATGTGACAGTGTTAGCGATAGCAACATTATTATAAAAAAAAGAAGAAAAAAAATCTCACGAAAAATAAAATAATGATATACCTCGTTAGAATCGCAATTGTTCTGGGAACTGTTTCATGACTACAATGTCAGAGTGAGGCCAGTGTTGAACGGGAGCCAGCCTGTCCTTGTCATGCTGAATTACGTACTCTTCACTCTGGATTCCATCGTTATTACCCTTTTTCTTCAATTATCTGGTTTTTAAATTTATTAACTATATATTTTTTTTACAAATTTACACTTTTTTTTAGTTCTTTCAGTTAATTTCATTATTCTTAGTTTACTGGAATTTTTAAAAATTATTTAAAAATATGGTTTGTTATGTTTATCTTTATATTCATCAAATTCATTTAGTTTTTTTTTAATTTTTTCCAAAATCATGTTTAATGTAGTACGTTACGATAATTTTGTTTTTATGTTGTTTGTCTAAGCGATTTGTTTAACATTCGCCATCGTAGAACGAACGAGACGAAACGATGAAGGCTTTTGGAGTCGTCAAACTGGTATGTAGGCATAGGCACTTCTTGAGTGACTGCGAGTTCATTACTACTAATTACTCATGATGATATTAGTGGAGTGACGATGACAACCATCACAATTTTATAAAAAAATCTTAATAACTTTTAACAGATACGCAAAAAATACTATATCAAATGATTGTAATAACTAGATTATTGCTAAAATGATGACCTTTCAGAACTGGATAGACGAATACCTGAGATGGAACAAGAGTGACCACAACAACATATCGAGGATATCCGTCCGGGCTTGCGACGTCTGGCTACCAGATGTCTACATCAGAAATGGGCTCGTTATTTCTACACGATTAAAATTATTTTAATTAATTTCATATTGTTTAATATTTAATTTAATAAATAATTACTGAAATTTTTCATGTCGGCACATACAAAGTTATTTATTATCTTAAATTGTTTTATTTTACTGTGGACACTTAACTTTCAGAGCCAAAAAGATATTTCATGTCTTGAAGAAAACCTCGCCACAGAGCGTGATCATAACGTACAAAGGCAGGGTGTACATGGACCTCCTGAGGGAGACGACCACCTACTGCAAACTGGACCTCACTTTCTTTCCATTCGACGTACAGACCTGCTACATACATGTCGAGAGCTTCACTTTCACCACAGCGCAAGTAAGCACCGCAGCTGATTGTTATATTGCAGATTGTTTTATAGATTTGTTGTAGAGCGTCTCTATTGAATTAACTTCGGATTGAAATATCGCTTGTTTCAGCACATAAGTATTAAAGTGATAGTTCAAATTAATATATTGTAAAATATTACATCAAGGTGCCGTTATGTTAACATTTATTTCCATTCCTAACTTGGCTGTATCACTTAAAACATTTCTCGTTTAGTTTGTTTCAAGTTTGCTCATTTGATATTTAATGAAAACTATATAGGATGAAAACTAAAGTTTTAACGACATAATATTTGTTTTTAATATTAGTATTATTTTCGTTATTATTGACAAAAAGTAACGATAATGATGATGATGATGATGATGATGATGATGATGATGATGATGATGATGATGATGAATGTTTCCATTTAACTTCCAGCTTGTTCTGGATTCGAACTCTAGCGGAATAGCTCTCAACAACTTGAAGCCACATGGACAGTGGAACATCGTCAGTTCTCAGGTCTCCGCTAACTTATTTAGTTAATTAAATAATTTAGTTAACTAATTCAATGTTATTTGAATTTAATTCTATTTAATTTTCACGTCATCAACAAAACTAGGTGAAAGTATCAACGCGAACGAACGAGGAAATGAAAAAAAATTTTTCAATGGTTACTTTTGTGTTGCATTTGAGAAGGAACCCACTCTTCTACTTCACGTACTTCATATATCCCTGCGTCATATCCGCTGTTGTCGTCGTTTTTGTATTCCTTCTTCCTAGCGATTCGAGAGGAAAAATAAACTTCAGCGTCACCGTCCTCTTGTCCTTCACGGTCTTCCTGGCCACCATGTACTTCGTTCTTCCAGAGTCAGGATTCTACGTTCCTTACCTCAGTTAGTAAGTCCCAAAACATATTTAAATTTTTCAAGTTGGAAACGCGTGTCCTACAGGGATGTGTTGGATGCAGCATTTCAGTTGTTTACGCTTGGCTTATGAAAATAAATTAACCACCAATTTATAAACTGTGGAATTAATAAATATATTTTCTAACATGCATATTTTAATAAAAATTTCCAAAAATTAAAATAAAACGGAACGCAAGTATGTTCAACTTGAGCCACAAAATCTGGTTGTTCTACGTGTGCAACTGCTTATTGCTTAGGAATTTGATTCAATTTTTAAACGACAGCGTTTGAATATTTTCTAACCAGCGGCCCGATTTTGGGGGGCCGGGAGGGTCAGTGCTCCCCATTGGGAGCAGTTTTTTCATAAAAATAAAAAAAGGACATTTTCAAATGTTTGCCTCCCCATCAAAGTTTTCTAGATCCGCCACTCTTTCTAACAAATTAAGTTTTACTATAAAAGTTTAATATTAATGACAAATGAATGAAAACAAACGAATTTAAAAACTGAATAGAAACCAACATTGTAAACAGCGGTGTACGTGACGTTCGTCATGTTTATGTCCTCACTGTCCTTGATAACAACGGTATTCGTGCTCACACTCTACCACCACGATCAAGATGAGCCACCGCCCTCCTGGCTTCAACACTTCATTTTAAATAAACTGGCTGCAAATATTGGAATGCAGTCGAAGACGACTCACTTGCCTGAAAAAATTGTTCCAAAGAAATCTTTGAGCGTAACCAATGGATATTTGCAGTTTCTGTTTGAAATCATTCAAAAGTCAGCCAATTACATGCACGACGCAGTTCGAGGATCATTTCATGTTGGTTACGATCAAAATACACAGCGAGAAATTGATGAACATTGTATGACGATGGAATTTCTGAGTCAATCGATAGAAAAGATTAAACATTTGAAAAAAATTAGAAAAAAACAACGATGCCCAGAAAACTCAGATTTGTTTATCTGCGAACCCGAACGTTTGGCGAAGGAATATGCACATATACAGTCTTCCAAAGACATTCAGCATAGCGATCTAGATGAAGAAAAGCTGGATCTAATAGGACAATGTTATTTAGAACGTGGTATGTTTAACTCAAACAAAGATTTTAATGGTTTAATTGATGTTGAGACATTGCTAAAATTAGAACCGGTTCTCATGGAAATAAATGAACATTTGATATTTAAATCCGACGTCGAGACAAACAAATTCTTGTGGATCAGCATTGCAAACGTGGTTAACAGGTTTTTCTTCTACATGTATGCCGTTGTCTCCGCAGTTGGGGGTCTATGGTTGCTCTGGTTTCTGCCAGAATCAGGACCTGAAGTGGCTAATCCGGATGTAAATTTTGGACCGGGTGTGAATTTCGAAACTCATTGATTAAATTTAATTTTAGTTTTATAATTAAAGAAAAATAATTATTTTATGATATGACAGTTATTATTTTTATAACAAAAATGCATTTTTATTATCAAACAAATTGTTTTCAATGCTTAAGAAACAACGTTCTTTTAATAAAAAAAACGGAGTAAATCAACACCAGAGAAGAGTGCACGCATGTTCTTAACTCGTTTGAAAGTTTTGTGTAAATAATTATTTTTTACTATAAGTTTTGAATGTTTGTTAACAAATACTTCAACTTGACTGTTGTAAACCATAAGTTATTGTTACTGTTTCATGTGGTTCGTTGAAGTTTATTATCATTTTTTTTTATTTTAGAATTTATAAAATTTGAAATTACAAAAAATGAAAGTTGTTTAAACATATATGATTGAAAGAAATATGTAAGCGAAAACAATTATTTCATTGAGTCGAAGCAGATTTCCTTCAAATTTGTACTGAACTGGGTGTTGGTTCAATTTTTTAAACTAATGAAGATAACAAATTTTCAAAATTTTTCAATGCCGTTTTAATCCAATAAGCTAAACGGAGTGATAAAATGGAGGGAGAGAAATTAGAATGCGATGAATTGAAACAGCAGGGCTCCAGATGGTTCAACTTCGCAGTTGAAGTAATGCCAGGGCTTGAAGACACCGTGGTAGTCACCCGAGAAGACCTCCGTGACGTTATAACGAGCCGAGCCGGAAATATCGAGACTGCTGAGCTGGAAAGATGTTTGACTCGGTAGGCCGGCTATGTTCGTGTTCAGCAAGGCTACTGCAAAGCTGCCCTCCGGTAGAATCGGTTTTGTCCAGATCGTCACCAGCTCCTTCTACGAAAGAAATATTTACATATAAATTTCAGTTGTTATCAGTGAATAAGAAAACATATTCAATTTAACCATTAAATGAAATTTGTTTCAAAAAATACATGCATGACATAGGACATATTTTAAAACAAACTTACTCTACTTAAGCTCTTGTTAAATTCTTACATGTTTCAGTTATGCAAAACAGTTTCATCATTATTTTAAAACATCTTGCTATATAGTTTTAGTATATTTTTATTCATTCTTTAAAATTAATATGCTAAAAGTTGTTAGGAAACACTAAACATCGAAAATCATCGAAATTTTTATAATTTAATTAGTTTTAAATTTCATTATCTCTAATTATAAAGTTTTTTCATTATAAAGACTTAAACATTATTTAAAGTTTATATTTTTTATAATGGGCGGCATGATGGCGTAATTGTTATGGACGCTTGGCCCTGCTATGCAGTGGTAACTGGGTTCGATCGCAGAGAAGATTCCTGCTTATCATGTGCAGCACGCGCGCGAGTGTGTGTATATGTGTCTTTTGATACTTCTCAATAATGAACAAATAATAGATATATTAATTAAAACAATGCTCTGCAGATATTGAACGAGTCAAACTTGACACCAATACACATACGCTAAGTTTTTGACGTCCTACAAATCCAAGACTATCTTGATTTATCCTGATAACTTTCTCATTCAGCAACAATCTCTTTGACCTAGAATTTAATTGGGTCATGTCACATGAAACAAGCAGCGGAGACGACACTATAGCCCAAAATGAAAGTTGAAACTTTTCCTGATCGTGACTTAGACTGGATGTACCAACCACCAGCTGTTCGTTTTTTGTTGTTGAATGTTCAGTTTTAAAATATTGAAACAATTAATGAATTGTTTATCCTATTTAGGTGATACGTTGATTTACAGTTAAAATTAAACTTTACATAAAATTATAAAAAATACTAAATGGAATTCGAAAATTTTCATTAAAAATTATTTAAAAATTATTCGCCTGAAACCTGATCGAGATCGATATAGCTTCCCGGGCCAACCACATCCTTGTAAAGGTACCAGTAGCCATTATAATTTTGAACCGTTTGCGTCAGTAGTTCCGTGGTTTTGACCGGATCAGATATTCTAAAGTAGTTGCAAGTTTTGGCCACAGCTGTATAATTCGCCTGCATGTATGATACGTGATGGTTGGTAAATAAAATAAATAAACTTAGTGGTAATAAATATTGTCTATCTGAAAAGTGATTGTTTTCAAGTCAATCCAAATGTTTTTTTCTCTAATAAAAAAAATTAAACATACAAAACAAGAGAGGAGAACAAACTCTTAACAATGTTTTTAAAATATCAATCATCAAATAACGTAGACAAACTTAAAATTAAAAAAATACGAAACAACAAATGGCATAACATATATAACATGGCAAACAAAAAGCATACAAACAATAAAACATTAACAGCAACTATACAAACAAATGACATAAAATGAGATGACATACAAACAAACAACTTCCAAGCACAAAACTAACCTGTCCACCACCCTTCTTATTGAGAATGAATGGCCACTCACACACGTAAGTCATCTGAACACCTGTCCTATTCAACTGGCTGCCAAAATCAGGGTAGGCTTGAAGAGTTGGGCAGCATTCAATGATACTTATTTACAGTTCATATTACAGTTTTGTGGTCAACTAATCATACAAGCAACAATAAGGTTAATACTCTTTTAAAATGTGAAAATTTTGAACAGATTTTATTATGAACAGGAAAAATGGTAGTACTGAAAAATTGTGAAAATAAAAAAGAAATGAAACGCGAACCTTTATTGATATCGATGTAGGACGTGAGACCGCACGCACCAGCAACCACCACATCCACCTTCCAGCTAGCCAACGTTTCGGCATCCAGGTCGTACCTGTTCAAACTCCCTGGAAAGCCCCCGCATGTTTTCGCACCTAGGTCCATGTACAAACCAAGTTTCAGATTTTTCCCATGCAACTGATTGTAGAGACGATTGTATGACATGACGACGCTTAGGTGAGTTATATAAATAATTAACATAATATACATTATTATTCAATATTCAGTTTGATTCTAAACTAATTAAATAAAGTAAATAGATGAAAGCAGAAGTTAAAGTTGATCATAAGAACAATTCACTCTAAATAGTTTCAATGGAATGTATTTACTACATTGATAGAATTGTCATAAAACAACAAGAAACAGACAAATTGAAAAACATATAGAACAATATTAATGACGTTGACTGACATAAGAAGACAAATTAGCCATTCCACTTGGAAACCTGTTTCGATCAGCTCTTAACCTGTCCCTCTCATCTCTCATCTTGTCCATCCAGCAGTCACCGATGATGATGTGTTGGTAGCCTGCTTCTTGGAAACTGCTTAGAGTCAACATGTCTGCTACTGTCCTTATCAGGTGCTCGCTGTTTCATTCATTTCATTTTAATAGATGTGGTTGGAAATTTTGAAATAGTTAGCATTTGGAATTTACTTTTGTAGTATTGACTTTCTATTTTACAAATTTCCGTATTACATTTTTTAACAGAAAATGCTTGTTTGTGTAATATGAATTTCAACAAAAACATCACATGAACCGACCAATCATCTTACCTTATGCAATCATCCGGATAGTTGATGCAATCCGTCAGACATGGATATCTTTCTCCAGTTGTCCATCCAAGTAGTGGAGAGTTCCCAATCCCATTATCCAGAGTGCTGACAGGATAAAACATTTTGCAAAAAAATAACAAAGTCGAGATCGTAACTGGCTTCATTTTTTTTATAACTAGTTGATGATAGCTTTATATTGAATGTATCTGTTTAAGGGGAGGTTATCTCATGGCAAAAATAACGGAAATAACACTTTGCTTTTATTGAAATAATCTTCATATATTTTTTTGTGTTGGCAGTTAAGTGTGTCGATTTGTATTAAATTTATTTTATGTATCTGTTATATTATTTTTTTAATTTGACTACAAATTTTAGTTATATAAATATTAATGGCTGAAGGCTGGCCTTCTAAAAGAATTTTCTCAAAATCAGCTGAAATCACTCGGAATATCATTGAATTTCTAATGCATACCTAGTCAAATTCTTCAGAATACATGTAAATGTGGACACATACACACGTTCACACATACACGTACGCACACACGCACGCACGCACGCACATGTAACGCGCATGGTAAATGATCACGCCGTCTTTAAATTTCGTCGTTCATGACGTGTTGCTAAAAATAGACTTATTAGTCATTAATATTAACTGCTATTTTATTAATGTGTATAATAATTATTATCATTTAAATGAGATTCTCTGTCTTGCATATATAAAAAATGTTCAACATCTCGCGCCATTCTAATCAATTCATCTAAATTCCATCTACTCGTTCACTCCAAGCCCCATGCAACTTTCTGCCATGCATCCATCATGCATCTTTGTATTCAACATCTCACTCCTTATCTATATAAATAGACAAGTCAACCATCCACTTATCTATCCATTCCATTCAGTCTATACATTGTTCAGCTGATGAAACTCAATGTATTGTATGCTGAAACACTAGCAACTCATTTGACAGCCCTCAATAAACAAGCGCACAAACTCAAAATTACACACGAAATATGCATGAATATGAAATGAAATATACGCACATATACACACATACAATTATGCACATGAAACATACACGTAATGTGCATGAATATAATGAACAATCGTACTTAACAAAAATATATTTTAACTTTATTCATACATTCCATTTTATTAGTTGAAAATGTTTTAACTTGTTTCCGAGTGCTGTGTACGGTAGTGACAAGAGACAAATCAGTTAGAGCGCACATCTCAGATGGCGTTAGCTTTTCAGAAATTAATTCCATCTCCGCACAAACCCACTTCAAAATAACTAGTCTCAACCGCACTGACGATCATTCTCCCAGGTCACATCGCTTACAAAATCTTTCCTTTCCTTTTCAGTTTCACCTGGATTTTCATTATTGGCGAAATTTATTTTCCCTGTTCTGCGCAATTTACGAGACATTTGAAGAGACGAAAGATGGTGACTGAAAACATGGACGAAAACTAATTAACTCATTTTATTTTCATAAAATTGAAACCAAATTATATATAAAATAACTGAAAATATATTTAAATTCATCTACGATATAAAAACATGAAAAAAATTGAAACGAGAATCATCACTTAATCATTTAGGTACTTACATGCGTTGTCGTAAACACAAGCTGAGAAAAAACGAAACATTAAAAACAGTAGAAAAAAAACTATAGCAACAATAATAATAAAAAATACTAATAACAATAATTATTATTATTAATTATAACATTAAACATAATAAAATATTAAAAATAGTTTAGCTATCAAAATGATATTATTTAACACAATTCTTGTTATGTAAAAAACAACAAACAAAACAGAACATAGAACGTAGGCAGTAATACATACCGCAGATTATTTTCACGAACGCAAACTGTAGAGATAAAACAAAACTTTCACACAAGCATACATCCATCCAACGTCTTATTTAACGGTTTAATATCAATCACACAGACGACAGATATATAAAATTCTAGAATGCGTGCGTACGTAAAACATCATTAAGAATAATAATAATAATAATAATGGATAAAACATGTTGACTGACTAATCATCATGACTGCACATATATACACGGCGTAAGACATCCGTCTGAGTAACGAGTTGGTACTACAATGGTCATTAATTATAATTCATTATACCGAAATTAAAAATAAATTGAGAATTGCATTTCATTTGTACACGGTATATAAATAATAAATAGAAATAAAACATACGTAAAATAAAAAATGTATGAAAAGCATACGCAGGCGTACATAGGTTCACATTCTCACATCCTTAAAATACGTTCGGCAAAACTGAAAACTTATATACAAATACGTTTGTGTACGCGGCGTATTTTGTTTAAATGCAAGGTATTTTTGCTTGATCTGATTTCAGTTGCATTATAACGGTCATTATTTGATAACAATTGGTAGGACGTAATTGTGATTATCAATGCTAAACTCGATTTGATCTTCATCAACCTGGCAAGATGCTGCTGGCTGGATGGCTGGCTTCAGAAGATAATTTTGGGTATGTGTAAACATATATTGGGTATACAGGTATATATATAATTATTATATAATATAAAATGAGAGAGAGAGAGAGAGAGAGAGAGGGAGAGAGAGAGAGAGAAGAGAGAGGAGATAGAGAAAGAATAGACAAGAATTTTGTAAATAAGAAACAAAAAATTTGAGAAAAATTAAGAAGTTAAAGAAGTCAAATCAGAAGAGCAACTAGACTTGAAGTAGAACATTGCTGATGGCATAAAAATAGAGTTCATATAATGAGTATACAATTTTTACACAAATGTTGGTATCCACAGGAATATGGTAAAAACTACATCCTGTTCTTTAAGTACTGTAAACACACAAACAAAAACACACATAGACATATAGCATATTTATTTACATCGCCCTGATCAAGAATAATTGAAACACAAACAGATGAAATGTACGTTGAATTCAAAGTGAACATTAAAAACAACAAACCAGAAAGTACATACAATACAAGTTTAAAACTTTATAAATATTAGAAACAACAAACTAACATACAATGAATTTTCATCTCATTTTACTACAAATATATAAACTACCATAATAAAATTATTATTTAAAATTAAAACATAAATGTACTAACTCCAGCAAATCCAACAATGTAGCTGCTATAAAAAGGAACAAAATAAATCGAATAAAAGTTTAAAAAGGTATGACACAAATAACAAAAAAAACGTTTATTACATATAACACGCATATTAATATACACACATCACTTTAATTTCTAAAAACAATTATTTTTATTGGTAAAAAAGATTTTTGCTAAAGTCAAAGTCTTCTATGGAGAAGGTCACAATGACAGGAAACACTGAGACAATGCCGCATGTTGTTTTAGATTGGATGCTACTTCATGGTCGACATTGTTGCTTACTTTTGTGATATCAATTTGTTGCTGGTTGTAGCCACGTTGCGAATGCTGTGGCTGCTGTTGTTGCTGTGATATTAGCTGAAGCGATGTAGTTGAAGCAGTTGCTGCATTTTGAAGCATGTAACTTTGAGATAGCTGTTCTGAACTGTGCGCATGTCTAGGAGGGTGATGTTTCTGTTGAGGTTGCTGTGAGATGAGGCAGTTAAGTTCTGCTGTCATTTTGGTGTGTTGCATTTTTTGGTCACGTAATTCAAAGTGACGATGATATGCTCTTTTCGTTGTGTCAGCAGATGGGTTCAAACAATCTTTAACAAGATTTGAAGCCTGTGCATCTGATCCTCCACCACTGTTACTACTCATGATGTCAAAATTATTTGGTGCAGAATCATCAACAGCAACAGCAATATTTACTGAACCATGGTCATAAGAAGAAGCAGTCGTATCAGTAACTGTAATATCATCAGTTGAAACAACATCAGAGACAACTATACTCCTACGAGTAGAGGAGTACATGTTCATTGAAGAGTGCTCTTTAAATTGAGTGCTAACGTCCAGAACGTCTAACTGAAGATCTGGAAAGTAGCGGCCATTATGTGGCTGATGACATTTCTGATATTTCAAACCGAAGTTGATCAGCGTCGGATTGGCAGGTTGATGAAACTGACCACTCATCTTTATCTGATGGATGGCAATGCCAAATGCTCGCTTAATATCTTTCCTCAGTTTCGACTTTTTAATGTTGGAGAGTCTCTCCCTGTCCAATGAAGGATCCCATCCCAAGAGGTGAACCTTATTGCGGGGCAGCCACTGCCTGTTATTCACACGTGCATATTATTCAAAATTATAAAATTGTAAATACTCGATTGAAATAAACACACAACTTTCATGCCAATAAATTGAAGGATTTCCACAATAATAAATTTGTGACGTAAGCTGACAATACATTCTAGTTACTTGTTAAATATTTATTACACTTGCTAGTAGCATAAGGATTGTTTTATTATTAATACTTATTATATTCGATTTAGTTATCATATTTTATCAACAGTACTTGAAATAGTAGAGAGTAATAAATTGAAATCATTCCAACAACACAAACAAGACCAACCAGTTTCTTTTTTTGTCAAAAAATCGAACAAGAAAAACAGGTTCTGTGAACTTTGAAGCAAGATTCATAACACATGGAGGGGGTGTCAAGTTTTGGAAGAACCCATTCGAGTCTTGGAGGGGTGTGCTATCCGACTTGACAATCTAATAAAAGTTCAATATAATATGTAATGTTACAACGTAATATGTCAGTGATTCGTTTTAAATATTCAGCAGAACAGCTAAACGAAGATGCAGATGAAGCAGATGAGATGTGACAAAAAATATTTATTTAAATTTCTCAAAGTGGATACTAATCATCTGAAGAAAACAAACGTGCACCAATTCATTGGAATTGACTTTGGATATCAATGCAGAATCAATTGAATGAAGTACGATAGCGCTCGTGTTCAAACAAAATGTTACATCAGAATTATATATAATGAACATTGCCAGTGACAAAACTTCCTCACTCACAAGAGCAGGGTACCATGGGTAGCCCTTATTCTTTGCCCACACAACATCACCGGCTTGCAAGAAAGTCTTCAAATCATCTCCATCTTTTGAGCAAACACTACTTGCTCTGCTTGTCCTCTCACTTTTGGATTGCGAACTCCTTCTTCTTCTTCTTCTCTCATTGCCTGATTGAAGTTTTTTTGATTGGTTAGAACTGAGAAAGAAAAAAGTTGAAGATTTTAACGCTATTTAAACTGTTAATGAAGTAAATTAACGGTGAATAACGATGAATAACGAACCATGAGCCAATTTAGAAACTGAATTCTGCAAACTGTTTTCATTTGAGTCACTTGTCATCACCATCGTCCGAGCATCATCATCATCCTCATCTTCATCATTGTCTGTGATATTAGACAGAGATGATGATGATGAAAGTGGAAATGATGATGTTGTTGATGCAGATGATGTGACACGATAAACTGACGCTAACGATGTTGATGAGAATGATGTGTTTGATGATGATGATGATGACGATGTTGCTGGTACTGATGACGATCGTTTCAAGCCCAACGAATCAAGGTCGCAATAAACTTTGCAGTTTTTCAAAAACTTCTGGTAGACGCTCCTTGAATTGTTCAAGTTTGATTTATCTTTGTTAGTGGTGACGTCATCGTCATCATCAACCTTATTGTAAACAAGGGTACCATTCCTGTTACTGCTGTTGTCTTTGATATTAACGTACGTAAAACTATTATTAATAACATTATTAACATTGTTATTGTTGTTGTTGTAGATGATACTACGGTAATTGGTAATATTTAAGTTATTGTCAATGGGAGCATCAAAATGATTCTTGTTAATGTCATCTTTGTTACATTTAACGAAGTTAGTTGATAGTTCATTAGATGTATTGAAAGTATTCTGTTTGGATGATACATTTTCTGGTGTGGGAGCAATCGTTGTTGTTGTTGGTGGTGTAGCTGTCGATAAATTAACTACTCTTGTCTGTGTAGTTGAGGTCGTCATCGCATTCGTTAATGACGTTGATAAAGTTGTTGATGTAAATGTAGTTGATGCAACTGAAGTTGTAGCTGCTGTAGCCAACGATGTTACATTAAAAGTTTTGTTATTTGATACACCAATTGTCTTCTTCATGACAACAACTGGAGAGGTTGACAAGAGATTTTTTGAATTTTGAGGCAAAATTAAATTTTTTAAAGATTCACAGGCTGCATTGTTAAGCAGTACTTTTGATGGTGATGTCATTGTCGTTGCCGATAAAACTGACTTTGATGATGTTGGTGGCTGCAAAAATAATGTTGCCATTGAGGTTGTATGGATGTGTGAAACGCTGGAGGCCAACAGTTCCAACGTTGTAGACGGTGTTATCAATGTTGTCGTGTTCAAAACTGGCAGTGTCGGTGTCGTTGCTAATGACAATTTTTCAGATGGTGACGTAATTAATTTTGATGACGTTGTTGTCGTTGTAGATGATGAAATCCTCAGAGAAGGAGACAGGGCAGACGTCATATTTGTTGTCGTTGGTGACGATGACGTTGAAATCATAACTGTCGAGGTGTTTATATGCTGCTGGTGTTGTTGTAGTTGCAGTGATGACGATCTCGTCATCCTTTTATATTCATTATTTTTGGTGACCACTTGACAACAAGATGATGACGTAGACGTTGATGTTGTCTTATTATCAGCTGAAGGTTTAAAACGCTTTTTAATCTCACTCAAACCATCAACATCATCGTCATTGTGATAAATCTCATTATTATTATTATTAGTTTTGCTTGCCAATTTACGTTTATTATTATTATTATAATTTATTCCATAGTAATTTGGTGGATGTAATTTGCCATGGGCACTTCTCAAGTGTCTTGTGTAGTTTTCAACGATACCATTGCTTTCCACACCATCATCATTGTAATCAGCACCATCATTATAATAGTTGTTATTATTAATGTTATTACTATTATTATTATTATCTTCGTCATTGTCCATACTAAAAGTATTAAGATTACCTTTTTCATTGGTGATATCATCAGTATTGTTAATGTCCTTACCACTATTACTACATTCATCAACATTATTATAGGCTGTTGCTATGTTAGCGTTATGGTAGGCTTTAGACTCTATTTGAAGTGAAGGTGTGTAGGCTTTAGATTCTATTTGAAGTGAAGGTGTTGATGTTGTCGTCGTTGTATTTGTAATTGGCGATGAGAATGGTGATGGTGACATAACTGATAACGACGGTGTTATCGATGTCATCTTTGTAGTTGATGATAATGACATGACTAAGGACGATGATGTTGTTGCTGTTGATGTCGGCGTCAATGTAGTTGATGACGAAAATGACGGTGGCACGGTTGACAGCAATGATGCTGTCTCAGCAGCTGATGTGGTTAATAAAGATGTTTTTGAAATTGTTGTTGTTGTATTTGTAGTGGATGATGATGACAATGATGTAACTGAAAATGACGAAGTTGTTGCTGCAAGAGGTGGCGATTTTGTGGTCAATGTTGTGACTACCATTAGAGAAGCCGACAGCAATGATGACGAAGATGAGGATGATGAGTTGGAGGTAGGTGACAGGGGAGTTGAAGCTAACACTGGAATTGATGATTTTGATGGGAAGCGTCGTTGTCGACGACGCGAACGATGACGACAACGACGACGATGTGGTGGTGTTGGTGATAGTTTTGAACTGGAACAATGCATAATCTCAAGTTCCTTTTCACTAGCACGTTTTACATCATCGCTGATTTCATTACCAACACTATCATCGATATTATCAACATTATCGACGACGTTATCACCGACTTTATCATTATCGCTTTCAACAGCATTGTTACTGCTTTGTCTACCTCTCGTGATATGATTAACATCCGTATCGTCTGGAGTGCAAATTTTTGAAAAAAAATATGAGTCCTACTTAACATCTTATCTCATAATATTTACTACGTGTGTGTGTGTGTGTGTGTGTGTGTGTGTGTGTGTGTGTGTGTGTGTGTGTGTGTGTGTGTGTGTGTTTGAAATGCCAGTGTGTGGCAATAAATTTTATATTCTTATCAAGCTATATATATCATGTCCTAGAAGTTATTTATATCACTCTCCAATCTATGTCTTCACACAAAGCAATTGTATTTATAATTTTCAGAGATATTATATTCGTTTAATTGGTGTAACACTGAACCATTGACAAACACACACACAAACACACACACACGCATTATAGCCAAAATAGCAGAAAAGATCATAATAAGCTTTATTTATAGTCTAATTTATCATCAGCTGCAACAGTATTTATATGGTGTCTCGCTTATATTTTCACTCAATTTTAAGTATTTTGTTGCTCCACCTTATTAAGTATTTTGTAAACCATTTTTTCAGCCAACATTATTCTGCGTTTAATATTGCGCGCTCTATGCAGATAAAATTGAAATTGGTGCTATGAAATAAGGATGCTGCAACAAAATATTAACCGTGTTGTTTTTATCATGCAAATCGTTTTTGTATCGGTGCCAAAATTTTGTACCAGCATTTTCGATTTAATGGTGTAATGATGATACATTGCGACGTGATGAGGAATCGAAATTATCTTGAAGATGCAAATGCAACTAGGCAAACGTAAATGTGAATGGGTAGGTTTGGTTTGGTTGGACTGAGTAAATTTGTAGAAATAAGACTGAGTGCTTATGAAAGACTATAAAAATGAGTTCAGCCTCCTTTAATTAGTGAATAAAACTATCAACAAATAACCAATAACTATTAATACAACTCATTGCCAAGCTTTGAATAAATGCTTCTAAGAAAGATGATGATGGTTATATAATTTCAATTGTTTGCTACCTACCTACGCGCGCATTAACAGTTAATACGAGCCTTAATAGTGTCAAAAAACAAGTGTCATATAATCACAATTAGAAGATGTTAGTAACCTTGAAACACCAGTGCCCTACACGACCTCAAGTTCCTAGTCACAGGCGGGCTAGCAGCTGTTGAATTAAATTTTCGAACATCAAAAATAAATATCAAATTTATAAATCTGAAAAGTTAAATAGTACATAATAGCGCAATCTGTAGTACTGACATTTACTTTTAGATTTACTCCTAGAACTACAGGAGCGTGGTGTCTTGTGATTGGTCAGTTGTTGGTCAATGAAAGTTATCCTCCTACGCAATCTAGCAATTTCTTTTTTAGTTTTCTTTATCTGGTACAGTCGGTTTTCTAAGAAAAAGGTTTAAAAACTTTCTATCAACCCATAATAATAATCATCAATCATCACAAATATTAGAAATAAATAGTAAAATAATAAAAGCCAGAATAATACCGACTTGAATGAATAACATAAAGAGCATCCAGTCTGCTGAGCAATTCATCCAGTCTGCTGTCCAGCACTTTCTTCTCATTGGTCATTTCAGCATCAGGACTACCAAAATCGTCTGCAACATTCACGGCATTCATAACTTTCTTATCTACTGAATTATAATTAGCAGTGCAAATATTCCTTCTGTTGTTCTTCCCATCAATCCTACAGCGATTGACAAAAGTTCGCAGATAACGTCGATGGTGATGGTGAATGTGATTGCTCTTAACGTCGCTATCATTCAACAGTTCATCATCACCGTCCCCATTCAAACTGTAGAGTACAGTGTCGTTCAAACTCGTGTCACCAGTTCTACTGCTATCAACCTCTAATTTACATTCTCCATTATCATTTCCTTCGGTTTCCATGGTAACGTGAACACCGGAAATGGGACAGTATCCCGCCCGGTTGCACATCCTCCTGGCAGACTCCAGAATAATGGCACACTGTTTTTTATGCCTGATTCCTATGTTATCCAGAACTGAGCCAGCACCATTGTAAAGCGTGCAGTTGTCAATTATGAGTTGGAAGTCGGATTCAAATTCATCAAAGTTTGAGTACTGGTGATTGTTGATTTTTTCACCCATTGTCCAATAATCCATGGGATGAGAGATTATGTCGCTGTACCCTGGGGCCTGAGATAATAGTTTGAATTATCAAAATCCTGATAATTTTATTTTATATTTCTTGAACAGACAACAAAACCATTATGATTGCTACTCCAACCTCCTCATCAGTTACTGGATAGGCAAACAACCCAATTGCATCCTTCATCATCAACTGTTCGAGAGTATGTTTCAGTAGGACATTGAATGGCTCCAGCTGTAGCTCCAACATGTGCTCCTTCAGTTTTACCTAGACATTGAGAGTATGTGATGATTAGTTGCAGACGTTCGTCATTCATATCAATCTGACAATTACAACATTTCATCTAAAATTAACCAACTCTCTTGCCAATAGTTTTTTATTTTTTTATTTTAAATAAATAATTAACAGAATTTTAAATATAACATTTGGCCATAATGTAAAAAGGCAGTATATCAGAAAGGAGCAAAAAGGAACCAACCAACTCAAACTTCATTTTCTCCCTCTTGCGGATGAGTTCCAGGAGCAGACGTACCTTCTCGTAATCCTGCCTCCATCTCCTCAACAACTTCAAACTATTTTCATCCAACGACATCATCATTGTTGCCGCTGTTGATGATGAAGATGCTGATAACATAGATGATGGCATCCTTGTAGTTGCTGTGGTCGTGGTGGTGCTCCTCGATGAAGATTCCAACTGAATCTGCAATACAGGAAACAAGCTACTACTATTAACTATGTCCCTTGATGAACCAATCTTAAACTAGGATAAAAATACAAAAAAAAAGAGAAAAGTGATTAGATAAAATCATAATTTTTTCACATTTGGAAAGATTGGGAATATGTGTTGAACAAATCAGTGTTACAGACTTTAATAGTTTGATGAATGAGTAGTATCTGTTGCAATCTTTGAATTAAGGGCAGTCCATCTCTGGAATGTCTCTTCAGCAGCCAATACCTGTGTATACAGGCCATGAGGAACTCTTTGTCTCGCACAGGTAGGCTTGTAGACAGGGCTTCTAATCTGAGTTTTCATAAAAAAAATAGAACTATGATAAAACAACTCAAAAACAACAAACCTCGCATCGTTTTATGATCACTGTCATTGTCACCACCATTAAAATTTACTTATAAAATGTAATTCTTAAAAGTGAATTAAACCTGTGTTGAGGAATGTCAGGTATTTCAATAGGCATAGACAGATGAGTAAGTTGATTGACGTCTCCAGCCATTTTTGATCTACATCTCTTTTTAGCTCGCTTCGTTCCTAATTTGTTTTCTGAGAGATACTGTGGTTGGCGATGGTTCAAAGGTCGACGTTGTCGTTGTCTTCGTGTGTGAAGCAGTTCCTTTCTGCCTCTGCTATTGTTTTTCAACCTTGTGAGAGAAGAGGATATCTTTTTAGGCCTTACAGACCCATTCACTCTAGACGGGAACGCTGTTGATGAACTAGCGAGGTATGAATGTAGAGATAAATTGTTGAATGAAGATTTTTTTTCACTACAATCAGCATTTCGTTGTTTGTCCTCGTATGCTAAATGTTTGTGTCTATGGCAGTAAAACAATCTATTTCTTCTATCACCAATTCTCTTAGTCGTTTTATTACTGCTAAAATTATTAACACTATTTGTACCAGAAAAATCAGCAGATGCTGAAGACAGAGATGAGTTAAATATCTTCAAAAAGCATCCCTTTTTTATAGCACAGAGTGCATGAAACGATCGACAACACTGAGGCGCTTGACAGCACAAACAAGCTCCACGACCCGTTCTGTTACACCCCCAACATCGCATCTCTGACCGCCATCGTGGCACTTTTTCAATTTTCTCGACTGGTTCGAGATAGACATTGCTGCCAAATGTTACCTGAATGTATGATGGATAATAGAAATAAAATGTCAATCTTCCTCAGCATTATTATTTTCATCATCTCTGAGAGTTGGATCAAATTTCAGTTAATGACACAATAAAAAAGGGTATAATAAAATACTGCTACAATACGAATATTTTTTTGAGACTTCAATTTCAGCGCCAACAACCTCTGGAATGAAGAGAGCACATAATATATGAACCCATCGGCCATCATCTGTCTGCTTCATGGCCCCTGGACCTCCTCCCTGACTCCTCCATGAGCATGGACACAGGACACATTTCACCGGAGTGTTCGGAGACTTCAAGCATTTCTTACACAACCATTCTCCTACAAAATATTTTTTGTGTGAAAGCCAGTAGTTCTATTCATTTTCACTGACAATAAAAATCATGTGTCAACACTCTTTGTAAGATTGTAAAACTATATAAACTAAAAAGCCATAATATTTTTAGCAAAATTTTAAACAATATCTGCAGCTCTAATATTTCCTAGCATTGTAAATAACATGCATATTAAATCATAAATGATTTATAATTTTCAACTGAATCATCACATGATGACTTTGTACAAAGCATCCAAACCTCAAAATTATCAGTTATCAAATGGTACTTCAATGTTGATGCAAAGTTATTTAATAATATTGCAATATTGTATTTTTTCAATTTAATTTGCAGCATTTAATTTAGAGTTGAGATATCATTTCAGCAAATTTTTCTGCATTTGAAAATTATTGGAATTTGAACTTTTTGGAAACCTACAACAACAATTGATCAACAAGCGTATGATGAAAAAAAAGAAAACTTAAATAAGTTCTTCTGTTAGATTTAATTCAAAGAATTAACCATTCAAAAAAAATTTTCACATTCAAAAAATTTAATTGCAGAAAACTTTTGTCAATATTTGAGTCCATATACATTTGTGAATGTTTATTTTTATGTTGAAAAATAAATAAAACTCAACATTACATCTTGCTTTTCAGGATCAAATAAAAGAGCCAATAAAACTACCATTTGGTTCATCAGTATAAGAATATAACCAGCAATTTTGGACCATACATTTTTATAAAAAGTGGGTAAAACTGTGCTTCAATCAAATTCAATTTAATATTTAAACATTAAACATATTTGTGATGAAATTTTAAAAAACATTGACCATCAGGGTAGTAAGGAACTCCATAGCAATCCTGGTGAACAGTTAGTGAGCAACCATTGCAGACAATCATTGCATTGGTTGGTGACGTTTGTGACTCACGACATACACCACATTTTTGTACTTTCAACTTTCCATCTTTTGAAACATCGTTTGATCTACTAGCATCGCTACAATTACTGTTACTGGTGATATTGTTGTCAGTAGTATTTTTATTACTGAAGCTGGAGTTAAGGTTTCTACTGCTGCTATACTTCTTGACATTATTATGGTCATTCAGTGTTGTTGATGATGGTACGAATGGTGAGGACATCGTGATGACGTGAGATTCCTTCTCCAGTTTATCAAGGATGCATTCCAACATGTCAACAGACAATGTGCTCTGCTTTTGTAACTTGCGATGTTCATTCAACAGTTTCAACCAGTGTATGTCCTGATGTTTTGAAATGAAATACAACAACTAATTTAACAACTGCATATAGTTAAAAAATTGATTTTGATCAGCAATGAACATCATAACCATTAAAATAAATAAGAAAAAAAAATTAATAATAAACAAATACCTCTTCATCAACATCATACTCTACTTCTGTATCCAAATCATCGGGCAGCAAATCAAAAGATCTTATATAAGAAACTGGCAGACCAAATGAGTTAGGCTTTTTGCAATTTGCATCAGAAGTGTTTGAGATTGAATAATCAATTTCCTTAACAGAACAGGTCTTAACACCAGCTATAGGAGGAGACATCTGATCATGAAAAAGTAATGATTAATAATAAAATGAGTAATAAAAAGTAATATTTGTCATGAATAAATATACACTACTTGAGTTACAAAGAAAAATATAAAAAAATTCCTTCCACTATTAATTTTCTATTTTTAATTTAACATTTGATTTTAGTTATAAATTGTTAAATTTATTTAAAAAAAGTTAAAACCTAAATCTCATTTGAACAAATAGGTGATGATATGTAATGATAAGAATTGTTTTTTGTATAATTATAATTAAAAACATGTAAAATTACTTCATTATTTTCAAAACAGAAGTGACTTTCTATAGTTTTTATTGTATTTGTTGAATCTTCAATAACAAGCCTATCCAAAATATCCAATCTATGTACATGTCCGTCAGTCAGCACATCAACAAACTTCTGGGCTTCTGCATAAGTTAACGTCTGACGTGTTGGCAAAACAGTGAAATTGCAACTATTGTTATTGCTGATATTGCTGGAGCACCCATCAAAGAAGTTTTTCCTAATTATGCAAACTTTCCTTGGTCTACTCCACTTTTTCACTTTACTTTTTCTCCGGCGATCTCGTTTACATTTGTATGATTTTATCAAGACCATTTTTTTGGTCTGTAGTTTGTTGTTGAGATCAAGATGTCAGCAGGTGAATAAGCAGTAGAGCAGATTACAAGAGGTTGAGTAAGATAATAAAGAGATGCATTGGTTGGTTAGTTGGTCGGTTGTCAGCCAGGACTACCCGGATAATTTAGGAATTTCTCACAACACCAACAGGCTACTGAGGAACAAAAGCAGCACAAATCAAATCACTGTGAAGGTGGTTTGCTATTGTAATTGTGTAAAACAAAAAGGTATATGCGAGACAAAGACAGACATTTGATCTAATTTTTGCATTGTCGAGGTTTTGAAAATTAAAACTGGCCAGACAAAATTAGTTTAAAAAACATAATATCGCCCCGACACATAACAAACGACAAACGATAAATCCGTTTATTTTGAACCAAATCGACTTGTTTACCCGGAAGCGTTAAATGACGCTTAATAAAAGCAACTGCACATATGGCGCTTTATTTTCTTTAATAATCATTCAATCAGTCAATCGGTGTGTAAAGCGCTATTTACACAATATTCAATTTTGGAGACAGATGACAGATCGCTCAAGACCCATCAACAGAACAATAGGCTTATTTATGAAGTTCTACAAATGTTTGGGGCTTTAAAGATTGGTTTCATATTTATTGCAAATAAATTTTTGAACATTTGAATAAATATTTGATAATTTCATACTTACATTCACGATATGCTTTTGACATTTATGTAGAAAACATTACATTGTTGTACTCTATACATAGTATTCTATATGTATGTACATAAAGAATGGTGGTAATGGCTCATGATAAATCCATATGTATTGAATCAAGATATATGAGTATTGTTCTTTCATCTTGCAAGCGTGCCATTGTGATTACTCTTTTGGATTTGGATTACGAGCATAATAAGTTGATAAGAAAGTTGGAAAACTTGAACAAGAAACGTAACAATCTGATAATTTTGATAGAATTAAACAAAATAAGTATAAATAAAAAAATATTCTGCCAAAATATTATAATGTTCTTTATGTGTTTGTTTAAAACTCTCGCTGATTAGATGATTTTTATATATAAAGTCTTACTCCAGTAAAAACTTTGACACATATGTGAAATTATGTTTGGCCACATATATATATAGAATATATATATATATATATATATATATATATATATATATATATATATATATATATATATTTAGCCAATTTTATTTAACCCATAAAATTTAATTAAACAAGGGAATTGAAATGACACATTAAATCTTTTTGTTGATCTGTATATCTCTAATCATTCAAAACCGAATCCTATAAAAGGCATGACGACCTCGATGTTATCTAAGCTTATTTGAAAGAACATGTCTGTAGAGAAAAGAGTGTGAGCTTCCTTTTCTCTCCCTGCACTGATCATAAGGAATGCGTGCAGTCATTGTCGCTCTTGCATCTTGTAAATGTTCAAAACGAAAAGTCTCTAGTGAAATACGGTAAACAATGCCAGTATAAAATGCTATAATAGTAACAGTATATATATTAACAGCAGTTTTGACAATATTATTATTTATTTAAATAAAAGCCGCATTCTTGTTGTCACGTTTCTCCATGCATATATTTGACAACCTGCAATTTTCTCAAAAACAGACTCAAGTTTCTTTGTTGTTAAAAGTATGAGGTATCTAATTAACACGTGTGGTCGATAGAAGGGTTTTTTCGGAATAGATATAAAATAGTATAAATAGTATAAACTCGACTGTTAGAAAAATCCAAGTTATTAATTTATTGTTTAAAATGGCAAAAAGTATGCGTAGTAAAAGAAAAAGGAAGATGAGGGCTATCAAAAGAAACAAGCTTGACGTCAAACTGACCGAAAAAATGAAAATTAAATCAAACATGATTAAAGATCAGGAAGTGGCCAGTCTAGTAAACTGTAATTTTTTAAATTTGTTATTAATATTTAATTGTTTTTGTTTCTAATACATATCAAATGTTAATGTCATTTCTCCAAAAAAACTGAACAATGTTCTGCGAACATGCTTGCTTGTTATGTTGTGCTGAGGTTATGACATCTAATTGCCATTCTTTTAATTATTAATTAAATATTTTAATTGTAATATTAATTTACGAAAAGTGACTAAGATAAAATAAATTATTTGAAATTTAATTGAAACAATTATGCTGTTTTTCAAGACTATAAAAACTTTTTTTTTATAAAATAAAGTATATATAAAATAAACTATAAAAAAAATTGTTAACATAATATAAATTTATAATACTTTTTTATAAATTTTATATTTAATAAATTTGATAAATTTTTTAAATTCTAAACACCTTAGTAACCACTACTCTGGACGAGAATAATGGACAATGCAAGGATAATAATGAAACAGGTTGATGATTTATTTTTTCTTATTTGGAAATAAATGTTAAATTTTCGCAATATTCATAATTTTGATATTAATGCATGTTGCTACATATTGTTACATATATTGTTACATATTGATACAGATACGTGATACATTTTTTAAAATTTTGATGCAACCAATATTTTTTGCATAGCAGTTACAGTAGTTAATGTAGAAATGGATGACACTACAAAGTGCAAGAAAGTGTATAACAAGAAAACATTAAGAGACGAACATGGGCAGTACCCAGTTTGGATGAATAAAAGAAAAATTGTAAAAAACAAGCTCAAGAATAAAAAGATTAAAAGAATCAAAAGATTAAAAAGCTAATTTTATTTAACTGTAATTAAAAACAATTCTATTCTAGTATTTTTTCTCTTAGTATAATGATTTGTTGGTGAGTTATTAAAATTTTATATTTCAATTGTTACTCTTCTGTCATTACCTTACACTTAACCTTAAACCGCACCAACATCTTTTTAACCCATCTATGCCTAATGTTAACTGTTGAAAGTTGTCGTGGCCGGATGTCTTTTCAGCAGATGAAAGTTGGGATAATATGTTTTGTACCAGGCTATTTAAATATAAACTCAAAAGTAAATCTTTTAAGTAACAAAAAAGAAATTAGCTGTAAATGCAAAATCAATCTTAAAATTAATTTGGTATAAACTATTATACGCTGTGCTGTTACGGGCTTCATCTTCAGAGTACAAAATACTATTAATTTGTAAAATGACATCCCGTTTCACTAAATTTCTAAACCTATTTATACGAATGAATTAATGTAAATTTTTTATAAGACTTGAGCCATAAACTAACTGAAATGCATTTGCGTCACACTCAATATTCCAAGTATACGTTTTTCACTAATTGAGGTTTTTATTAATATATAAACATGAAAATAATTTTTGTTTTCAAGTTAAATGACGATAGGGCAATCACCGAGGTTGGAATCAGCGAAGAATGTTGCACAATTCATAGGCTGTGTTGCGCACATTTGTCGAAACTATAAGGTCTATTCAGAGTTTTTGGTACCACAGTGTTTCCGGAGAATTGAATCTAACATCTAAGATTTGAAGTTAGTTTTCCGTTAAATTGCTCTAAGTAGGTTATTATTTTTTTATAAAATATAATCTGACTTGTTTTCGCTTTTTAACAGTCCAAAAAATAATTTTTAAACAATGAAAATTCGTACGTCCACGTTTTGAAGCACGTTGTTTTCTATTGTGTTCACATTTTCTTAGCCATTCTGGTTCTTCTTGTCTCTTGTGATTGTATTGTTCATTTCACTGCTGTTTGATATTTTGTTATCGTGTTATAATTATAATATTATAATTACTATTATATTTTATGACAAACTTATTTTGACAAATATTTCTTTCGAAGGTTTTTCAAAATGTCAGTTGCCTCCAAAGGTTACTTCAGTTTTTGAAAAATATTTTTACAAAACTAAAAATAAAATAAAGTCTACCTCTGTTTAATTAAAAATATCTACCTTTAATTTAACAAAGACTAAACAAAAATTCCTAAAATAATGTTGACTAATGTCCTTGTCCTACTCCCATTTTATTTTATAAATGAAATTATGTTCCAATTTTTTTATTTTTATATGCTTATATTTTTGAAATTATCAAATTTTATTTCTAGATCAAAAGGTTCCTCCTAAGGCCAACTTAGTTGGCGGAGGTTGGTCTAAATTTTTAACAATTGTTCAGTTATATATATATATATTACTGTTATGTTTTTGCCAATTATAATTTAGAAATTCTCATTAGTGCTCAACATTCAATGGTTGACATTGCAACATGTTTGAGACAGATGTGTCTTCAATTGTTTCATTCCGTCTTAGATCGTCAAGCAAACTGTCCCAGAAGTGGGTCTAGCAATTACAAAATATTTGCTAGCAAGTTGGTATTCCTAACATGGAGTATATTTGAGGGTGATGACCTCAAATCCTCATGACAATAGTGTGACATAAACTTTAACACATTTTTCTGACTAATAAACAGGTGCAAGTTTATTAAGACATTTGAAGACTTAGACTCCTACTTTGAACATGATTCTTTCATAGGAAGCCAATGCAAAGATTTTAATATAAGAGTTACATGATTAAATTTATATTGAAAACTCCAACAGATAGCACAAAGCACATATTTATAAATTATCAGAGTATCTATGATGTTAAAATTTGAATAACAACTATTTTGATTTATGACTAATCAAATCAATACTCAAACTATGACAATTTTTCATTTTTGTAAGACACAGCTGAGAATAGCTCCGGTAAGGATGCTGTCAAAACTCCTGATGAGTTAGCTACCCAAAGTCCAGAGCTTTTTATGTCTCCTACTGCATATGTTGCTAGGTTAGTTTTGTAATCGTAATTGTCTTGTTGTTCATTAATTAGCTCTGATTGACATTAGTGTGTTAGGAATTCATCTTTTTAATGTTGGTATGGGTAATATTTTAAAAGGTTTGGAACTTTTTATACTTTTTTGATCAAAAAAGATGGGCTCCATTATTGTTTATGATTGACACAGGAATAGATGTCATTTATATTTATATATGTTCATTTGGTGCTTTGTAAATAATGTCATTATGTATGTGCATATTTAGCAAAAAGTAATTTATACATTTTTATTCTCCTTATGTCTTATAATTATTTCAACCCTGAAAGAAGTTACTTTGCAGCGATGTTATTTTTGTAATTTTCCTTGGCCCAGCCTTCCAAAGGTGGTCAAGAGGAGATTAAAGGCATTAAAGAAGCTTCAGGTTCTGACAAATTTAGTTGAAGCCAAGTTTTTTGAGGAGCTTCACAAACTTGAGTGTAACTACCAGCTAAAATATGAACAAATATTTCTAAAGGTTAATATTATATTTCCCTTCAAAACAAACACGTTTTTATTGAGAACTTTATTTGTTTTTTAGTTTTCCTAGTTATTAGTTTCGTAATATTGTAAAAAAAAGTTTTTTATTCTATTTGGTAATGATTTCTGCCACAAAAATATTTTAAAAAAGTTAAATATTAATGTATGTGTAATTTTTTATAATTATTGTCTTCTAGAGAGCTGATATTATCAATGCTCGAATGGAGCCAACAGACGAACAGTGTGAGTGGCCCAATGATGAGGATGACCCTCTGGTTAGTTACTACCACCATCATCATTGTCATCGTCATCATGCTGTCATGATGATGATGCAATTTTCTTTAGTAGGATATTAGTTTTAATAATTTTTGTTTATTTATTATGATTTTAGTGTTGTTGAATAAAAATAAGCTTTTCACAGTTACAATTGGTAGAACAGGTTTATTATTTTTTCTACAGTCTGACAGCTTTGCTCATGTTAAAATTGGTGATATCGATGATAAAGATCTACCAGACAATCTCAAATTAGGTTTGCTATTCCATAACAGTAAAAAATTTTCTTCATATATTCATCATAATTCGTTAACCCTGATTTATTTTAAAAATGTGATTCTGGATGTTATGTACGTTGTATATGAAGTACGTTTCTTATTTTTTGTCGACATGCCTGCAGATGAAACAACCAAGGGCATTCCTGATTTTTGGCTGACCATTTTCAAAAATGTTGACATGCTCAGAGCAATGGTGCAGGTAAAAATTTATTATGCTATGCGTTGGCTGTTGAATGTCTGTTCGTTCTGGTTCAACCTTTCTGGTTCTTTCCTATCAGTTTTGTTAATTGATCTTGTAGTTGTGAAGCCTGAAGACCTTGGAAAAATCATTGTAGATTATGCATTTTTTATTAAGTAGTTAGAGCAATGCACATGAAAATAAATTTTTTATTCACAATGTAAAATTGTGGTGTGGTGATTAAGAGACTGTACAGCGATGGTAGTTGTATTAAGACGATCTAACCTATCCTCTGCAGCCTCATGACATCCCAATTTTGAAGCATTTACAAGACATCAAGGTACACCTTGACACAGAAAAGGTTAATTTTTGCTTATTATATACTTCAATTGTTTAAAGCAATATATGTTTTTTAAAGATTCGACATGTCTAGCCAATAATTTATTTTATCAACCTTTTGTAATACTAAGTGATGTTAAAATGTTTCTTCACACTTTTGTCTTTTTGATAGAACTTCTACGCATTATTTCTGATCTATAGAAGCTTTGGTATATTGAAATGCTAAGAATAGATTTGAATTAAAGCATGTATCCAGCTGATGAAGAATATTTTTTACAAATTGCAGGGTTTCACATTGGACTTTTTGTTTGAAGAGAATGAATTCTTCACAAATACTGTGCTCACGAAAACTTACTACCTCAAGTTCAACCCTCAAAAAGATGAGGAGCTGTTGTACGAAGGCCCAGAAGTTTACAAGTGCACAGGGTATTTATATATATATTTACATGTTATGGTCTTGCTTTTTTTTTACATTGTGTGGTTTAGTAAAAATTCATTGGTATATACTTTCCTCATTTGAACTCATGCAATGTTATCATTAATAATGTAATTATTAAATGTTATTTTTGCAACTTTTTTCTAACCTTAGCACACTAATTTGTTGTTTAATATTTCCATTCTTCAAGAACAACCATTGACTGGAAGCCGAACAAAAATGTAACAGTTCGCTTGGTGAAGAAAGTGCAGAAACATAAAGGAAGGGGCACAAAGAGAGTTCTCACAAAAACTGTTCAGAATGATTCCTTCTTCAACTTTTTCAATCCTCCAATGGTTTCAGAGAATGAAAACGAAATGGTAAACAATTAATTTTACTACAACCCTAATTCAATTCCAATTACGTTATGCTGCTGGAACAAGCCTGCCCTACAGCTTTTTTGCCACATTCCAGCTTCTAACCTTATCTTAACATTTGCTGTTTTCATCATTTTCATAGGATGAGGAAACAGATACCTTGTTGGAGGCTGATTTTGAGATTGGTCAATTCATTAGGGAGCGCATTGTGCCTCGAGCCATCCTGTACTACACAGGGGAGCTTGTAGATGATGAAGATGATGAGGTCAGTTTGTGAGATGATTGATTGATTGAATGATATTGATCTATTCATTGGGATGACAGGAAGTTGTGATGGGTGTTTATTTTTTTGTCAAATTGTTGAAATTTTATGTTAGGAAAATGATGAATATAGTGGTAATTATCTTTTTTATTTAATCTTTCTAAAACTTCTTTCAGTATGATGACGAAGACGAGGCCGGGGATGATGTTAGTACAAAATGAGATAGCGTTTTATGAGATTATTGCTGATATATATTCGTTATATCTTTATGAACATTGGTATTACTTATCGTTTTTTGTTTGTAATTCGTTTTACAGGAGGACGAAGACGAAAATTGAACGTTAGCAGCCACTAGGAATTAGTCTTCATTTTGTTTTTTCGTTTCTTCATTTTCTATCCTGTGTGCTTGTGTTTTTTTGAATGCTTGTTCATGTTTGTCTCTATGTACGTACGTATACGTTTGTTTCGTGACTGGTTGTATTAGTGGATGGATGGATGATGTATGAACAGATGAAGATTGGAAGAATGAGTTAATATTTATCATCTTCGTGTTTCTCTGACTTATATCGGTAATCAAACATCATTTCGTTTTCTAATTAATAAAATAGAAGTTTTCGTTTATTTTTGTTGTTTTTTAATAGTTTTTTTCAAAGTGTAAGCAAATGATTATGCCATTGTCTTGTGAAATGTTTTAAGGCTTGGTAAGTGCGCAGGTGCAAAAATTAGCTATTGTTGCTTTGTACATTTACCCCTTTACGATGCCAGTTAGTCCAGAGAAAGAAGACGTAAAAGTAACATTACACAACCTAATTATTTAATGTCCAAGCAAATTGTCAGTACGTGAAGCTTGGTTTGTCAAATTGTTAGGTTATATTGATTTGTGTTGAAACATGAAGTAATAGATGAGCCGTCTCTTTGTTCTCGTTTCGAATCCGTTATTTAAATATTTAAAACAATGAAATGTTTTTTTGCGTAACACCAAATTATTGAATGACGTAAAGATCATATGTACTTTATAGTATGCATATGCCGAGTATCCGTTTTTGTATTTTATTTTCGTCTGGTTAGAATTTTCGAAAATTTCACATGATTTTGAGGTAGTTAAAATTGTTATTCAATCACAGTAGAAAAGAGTGGTTTGTTTTCTTTGTGTCAAACTCTCATTCGTTTTAGTATTTTTTCATGTTATGGGTATTATTATCATAATCTTAATTGTTTTGGGTTAAATTTCAAAGTTTATTCATGAAACCTTTGTACAAAAAAATTACGTAATTTGATTTTTTTCTATTTGTAAAAAGAAAACGGAAGGAATTCAAACGTTGATTGCTTTAGAATTTAAAGAGTTAATAACCTTGCATATGTAAGGTGGATCGTCTAAACTTTAAAATATATCGGAGCGTCAAAACTCGCACATATATTAAAAAATTGTTCTCAATGTTAAAACAAAAATTAGTCAATATATGAAAATTAGTCTAAAAATATTTCAATATCACGCAGGTAATATTTAATTATAATCAATAAACAGTTTCAAAAATTAATGAGACTCATAACTGGCGATCATGGAATATAACCGAATGATCATGTTAAATATATATATGTTAATGTTCCACTATTGTCTTTTAAAATGAATGATATGTCTGCTAACAACGTAACGCTGAAACTGCATGAAAAGAGCAACCAGGTTTTGGTGCTGTCATCACAACAGCCACCACCAATCAGCTGACAGACACGAGAATGTCCTCGCACAGCTTCTTGTATTGCCACGTTGTTCCTTTAACTCTCTTCCTGCATATGCCGACGAATGATGATTTATGAAGCTCCACCACTTCCAGATCAAAAGCCAAACGAACTTTACCCCAATCATCTGAGATGGTGCATCTTAGTATGTATCTACGTTTGTGAAGTTTATAAGAAAATATTTGTGATTGGAGTGTATAAATATATTTAAATGTACTATATATAACTCTTCATGTAACAGTTTTAAAAGTATTTCAATCATCATCGACAAGATACCAAAGATGTTTTTATTCTAGCTATTTAGTTAGAATAGGGAAGATGAGCTTTTTCTTTTAAAGCAGTTATTACTGCTGTTGGGTAGATGGAAAAATCTTGCGGCAGCGCCTTTCTTATTTACAACTGTTCAAGAAACAAACAACTTTAAAACAGCCATTTGTCGAGGTTTTGCAATTCTTGAGTTCTTTTAAATTTAATTTTTTTAATGTTTGGCTAGACTAACAACGATATTAATGTTCAGTAAGCACAGAAATCTTCCGCCGCGTGGCAATAATAATTATATTAAGAAAAAACGACGGTACAACAATAAAAACTGTTGACTAGTGCATTCACATAAGCGAAAAAGGTGCATTCAAACACAGGCACACGCAAATCTACCCAGCTTGTTTGTAGTAGACTTTCATGAAGTCTAGCACATTCTGCATGTCTGAGAGCAATTCGTCAGGATGCTTTTGGCATATGTTTGATACATTATGCATGGCCTGCATGTATACATGTATTAATAACAGTGAGCAGTCAGTTACCATCGGAAGCATGACAAAGCACAGCACTTACCTTAACAATTCTTGGCTTGTCTGGGCTTGTTGTATTCTTTTTCTTTGGAGTTAACATGCACAACAACTTGTCCATACTTTTTTCCAAACTGCCAAAAACGGACGTTGCTTTTCTTGCTGACTTAACACAAGTTGGGGTATCATCAACATTGTCGTGAATGAATAAGCGATCTATTTCTGTATCAACTGAACCGCCAGCGCTTTTTCGAATTATTGAATAGATGTAAATTAAAATTAGAAGCACGTCAAAAAAGAAAAAAGGATTGAGAAGGTTCCAAAGATAAATAAATGGAACTATAACAAAACATCATTCATTGAAATAGTTGAAAGTTTTATTTAAGAAAAAGGTAGGAGCTGGATATTCATTGTAACAAAATAAGTGAGGAAGAGTATAATATGTCAGCGTATTAAAGTATAATGATAACAATAATAAACAATTATATACTATGCATATGCATACGTTATCTGAGCGCTGATGGGTGTTGTGTTGACACTGGCAGAAAGATGGTTGAGTTGAGAATCCATGGATCTTGAAGGAGAGAGTGTGCTACTCGTGCCCAGAAATCTTTCTTCTGCTGTTAACCTTGCCGATGCCTTTGGTGCTGTTAATGACGATGATAATGAAAAGTTTGACAAATTCGATAAAACAGTAATTCGATAATTCAGTAAATTGAATTACTGAAGAACTGAATTTTGATATGACTAACTGCCTTGTGAACTCAGTATGGTTGATAAAATAGGTGGAGGACTTTTCTTCTTTGGTTTAGAAACTGGTGTGATACCGACGGTGACAGGTCTCGGTCTCACTCTGGGAGTTCGTGGACGTATAAATGGGAAATTTTCTTTTCTCTCATCTGTTGACACGTCATCAGATAAGTAAAGAGGTTTCTTGTTGTGGTAGTTAGTTGTGTTGACACTCCTGTCATCATTCAGGGTCAGATCCTCAAAGTTTTTACCTATAATATCTCTGATGTTAATTTCGTTGCTAAACCTTTGATTCTGGTTGCCATGGTAGGTTTTGTTGTTGCCGCTATCAATGTGATCACTGTTGATATAGTTGTCATTGGTGTTGTAACTCTTATTACTATTAATATCGTTGTTATTGTTGCCAACAATGTAACTTTTGGTGGGATTGTAACTGTTGTGGATGATGTTTTGTTGCCTCTCCTTGCATGGACGATTTCGTTTTATTTCCTTCATTTGGTGTTCCTCTTTCTGGCCAACAACATCCACGCTCGCTGATTCACTCACCAACTCTTCAGTCAACTCTAATTTAGGAATGGGCTGTAGATTGTGTTAAATTTATATTTTATCGCTAATTTATACCATCTTCCACTGCCATCTAGCACAAACAACACATAAACGTAACTAACAGTACATAAACTCATACACACGCTACCACACTTTGAAGTGAATTATGAATGCAATCAAACCTCAGCAAACAAAGACATTGCAATGTTTTGTGATGCATCTGCCATGTTTGATCTGTTTCTTGGCGTGTGTTTTGGCCTAAGAAGTCTAACTGGCCTTCCTGTTAATGTTTAAATGCACAAGCATCCGTTTGTGGTTTGCCAAATAGCATATCTACATCCTCAGTGTCACCATTATAAAGAATAACGAAATTACTATCAACGTAATCGTGATCACCTTGTATTTTCTTTTTCTGCAAAAGTAGATAGGTGGATGTGATGTAATCATAATTCCAGAGCTGCACCTTCTCTTTGACCTCCTGCTTGGATACGCCGTAGTGCACGGACATCTCGGTCAGGCAGTCCTCATCAAACACGTTCTTCTGCAACGATCAAGTCAAGTCGTAATTGAAACGACAATATAAACATTAAATCAATACCAGAACGTTAAATAAAATAAAAATCATCAAAACCAGAACGTTAATTAAAATCAAATTCAAAACATTACATGAAATAGCATTCATAATTTTAAAATGAATATTGCATTAAATGTAATAATTAAACAAGATGTTCTATCTTTCACCACACACCAGTAAGCATTATCAGTAAGCATAAGCAAATTTACTTATTGTTTCATTATGTTTTTTTCCTTATTTTGAAAATTTTTTTAATTATTACTTTTAAATAAACTATTTCCACGCAATGTGTTTATCTAGTTGTAATCTACTCCTCATGTTGTTATTTGATTTTATTCTTTGTCAGCTGCTATATACTCATTCAGTATTTGTGTTTATTTCTGTCTTTAATAAAACAATAAATAAGATAGAAAATAAGACAAGAGGTAGTTAATCTTTCTGACCTGAAACTTGGAGGCCCATGAAACAGGCAGTTGGTAGCCCTTGAGAATCCACGGATGTCTGATGAGGTCCCTGATTGTGATTCGCTTGCTGGGGTCAGTTTGAAGGAGACACTTTAAAATCTCAACACTATCCTTTGACAGCCATTTTGGAACTTCATATTTCCCAGTCTAAATAAATGATGGAATGAATTGACAAATTAGTTTTTGTTGAAAATAAAAGCATCTATCAAACGGCCTGCAACTTACAATTTATAATTAATTGGATTAATCTTTCTAGCAGCACTTGTAAACCAACCAACCAACCAACCAACCAACCAACCAACCAACCAACCAACCAACCAACCAACCAACCAACCAACCAACTCTCTCACTCATTCATTCACTCATTCATTCATTCACTCACTCACCAGAATCTTCTTGTACAGCAGGTTGATGTTATCATCATCGAATGGAAGGAAGCCACAAAGAAGTGCATACAACAGAACGCCCATGCTCCACAAATCAACCTGGTCATCAATCAAGAAATATTTTTAACTGAAAATTAAACAGATTCCCAAGCTTTTATTTCATATTGGGATAAACAAAAACCATAAAAAAAATTTATATAACAGAGAAAAAATTATGGAGATATGAACCTGGGAACCAAAGTAATTTTTGCCGGCAATGAGTTCAGGTGCAGCATAGGCAGGACTGCCACAACAGGTCATCAAATAGGTTCCTAACCCACCCTGCATTCAAAATTCAATTATTATTGTCTACATATACATCAAATATTTTATCAAAATAGTGCATAGAGTTCATAATGTATAAATATCAATATATATCAACAATTAAAAAAGGTATAAAATTTCATTATCGCTAAGCAATAAGTTAACCTTTGGCTGTGCACAGAGTCCAAAATCAATAAGTTTTAAATTTTGATCTTCATCCAGCAATAAATTTTCCTTGAAAATAATTTTACAGATGAAAATACATCATGAACAAATGAACATAAATGTAAATGAAAAAAAATTTAAAGAAATTTACAGGAAAATGAATCAAAAAATTAGAATTACAGGTTTGAGATCCCTATGAACATAGCCCTGATCATGAATGTAGGCCACAGCAGCAACAATTTGCCTGAAACACTGCCTAGCTTCATCTTCCGACAGTCTGTCCTTTGCAACAATGTAGTCAAACAGCTCGCCACCATGACAGTACTTGAGTGATTTATATTTAAAAAAAAAATTTTCAGTTTGAATTCACAATTTATTGACACAACATCGATTCAATAAAAAAAAAACCATCAACGTTAATGTGTCCAATTTGATAAAAGTTTGAAAAACAGTTGAATCAATGACAATTACATTTAAAATTGACCATTAAAAACTTACCTCTAAAATAAGAAAAAATTTTTCTTCTGTTTCAAAAATTTGATAAAGTTTACAAATGTTCTGATGACTCAAATGTCTCATGGCCTCAATTTCTGTGCGTACTCTTGGCAAATCTTCTCCCAAAGTCTTTTTATCCATAATTTTGATTGCTACTTTGTCCCCAGTCAGGACATGATAACCTAATTTTACTTTGGCAAAACCACCTAAATAAAATTATAACAAAAATAATATAAACTATAAACATATACTTATTATATATCTAAAAAAAATAAATTAAATAATTAATCAATTAATAAAAAAAATAAAAGCTAAAAATTAAATTAACACTTAAAATATAAATAAATTATTTAAAATTTTAAATTAACGTTTTTTAAACAAAGAATAAATTTAAATAAAATCAAAATAAATCATTTTCCTTCATATACATTACGATTACACCTTTATGCAAATTTAAAATAAAACAATTATACAATATAAATATAAAAGAATGATATTTTAAAATTTCTATTTTAATTATAAATTTTATATATATTTATAATTTATATAAAATATATGAGTTAACTGTTAATTTAAAAAAATTAATTTAATTTTAAAAATCAGTCAATTAAATTGAAAATGAAAAGATACCGGAGCCGATGGTCTCGCGTACATAATACATTCCATCCAAAACATCGAAAGACATTTTGAAACTAAAAACTTAGTGAAAAAATAATAATTTATCTGATTAAACGACGAACTCAACTACTTGAAATATTTTGAATGTGGCGGAATTACAAGCAAAAGTCCACTTTTAAACTGAAAGGTACTTCTAATAAAATGTGTCATTTACATTTTGTCTTTTATTATATATCAAAAACATCAAACAATTAAACATAAACATAAAATTAAATAAACCAAAATTAGTTAAATTAAAAAAATTTAAGTTACGCAATGATAATTTTTATTTTCTTCATCAATACTTAAGAATGATTACTTTAAGCTTTTATACACTTTTAAACATAACAACTAAATTTAAAACCAAAAAGTTATCATAACAATGTCTCTATCGTTGAAAAAAGAGAACAAAATTACTATTTTAGATAAAAGTTTGAGCCGGGGTAAATCCGAGGTAAATTAATTTTTCTATTCTTTAATTTTTTTTTAGTGAATGATTATTTATTCTGTTTGATATTATTTTTTTATTAAAACTTTTCGATTTCATTTTTTTATATATTTATTAATATTAATAATTAATTTATTTTATTTAATTAATATTAATTTAATATAAAAACTTAATTTTATTTAACCTATTTCACTGTTTACTTGATTTTGTTGCAGGTAAGCATTAGTGCATTTGCTTTGCTCTTCTCAGAGATCGTTCAATACTGCCACAACAGAGTCAACACCATCCCTGAACTCCAGCAGAAGTCCCACTTTATTTTATTATTATTCTGTCTGATCTTTTTCAGTATTATTTATTTAATTTCAATTAAATGATTGTTATAACAAAAATAAGCTTACCTTTACTTTACACTAAAGTTTAAATTAAAATGTTTAGTTTTTAGAGAAATAACTTGTGCCAAAAATGGCCATGTTTACAGGTTATAAGAAAAGAAACCCAAATGAAATGTCTAATTTCAAAAACCAAACCCAAAATTTTTTTTGTAAAGTTTAAGCAATTCTTATTGCATTTACTTTGTGTCTGCTTTTATATTTAAAATCAAGCCCTTTAATACTCTTATCTACTCTTACTGAAATATTAAAAAAATAACTAAGTCAGAGTCATGGCTTGGTCTAATAATGCTCAAATAATTGTTTGACTCAAATGATAATAATAATGATGGTTCATTGAAAATGAAATGCTCTCCAGACTGTCAGACCTTGGCTTCCATGTTGGGCAGAGATATTTGGATTTGATTGTTTTGAGAGAAAAGGGACACAAAAGAGAAACTAAACTGGTGAACATGCTGGTTTTCATCAAGTCAAACGTTTGGAAGGTCGCAGATTTTAATGGTTTCACCTGTTTTAAGAATTTTTAATTCAGAAAATCTTTACATTCGTTTACTTCACCTTAGATTTGAAGTTTTGAATAGTTTCTTTTTATTTGTTGACATTTAGAATTTGTTTGGAAAAGAAGCTGACAAATTAGAACATGCCAACGATGATGAAAAGATTTGTATCCTTTTCTTAAAAAAATAAATTTTACATTGATTCAACATTAATTTCTTTAGAATCTTCATTATTGACTTAATAATTCACTTTCATATTGAAATAATGCATTATTAAATAAGACCTTAACGAAAAAATCAAACCGAAGATTACATCATTGAGAAAGATCCTCTGGTGAACAGATTCATTTCAAATCCAAGTGAAGGAGGTATTTAAAACCATTTATGACTCTCTTTTTTCATTTAATTTTTTAATAACCCGGTGTTTAGCTCAACAGCCTTTAATGTTTGTGACGTTTCAAAGATCATTTTAATCTCACTATCATGTATATATTAAAGGATTATTTTGAATATTTCATATAGATCGATTTATTTTTTTGCATGTTCAGTCGTTTATAAATAGATTGCTGATCATGAATCATTAAATGGAATGCTGCTTTATTAAAATACATGAAACACTAAATTGGATGTTGTTTGTTTGAACAAGATACAAACTGACCATTCCAGGAAGACAGTCCAGTTTGAATTGTGCATCATTCATGGCGGGCATCATAGAAGCCATACTGACCACCAGCAATTTTGTCAGTTGAAAATTTTTGTAATCATTCCACCATTGTTTTTTCCTCTTTTTTAAAATTCACGAAATAAGAATCTTTCATCTTAACTTAAATTGCTTCTACTTTCTCTGAATGTGTGAGATGGCTAACCTAAATAAATGGTGAATTTATGTTTGAGATGTGTTTTAGGGGGATGAATTAATATTCTCTGCATCGTTGCAGCCTGCCAAAGTTACAGCACACTGGCATGAAGGAACTGCATTCAGGATCAACTTTGATGAATCCGTGCTTCTCAGGGACAAGACTGTAGATGGGAGAGGATGAAGATGACGACGTTGATGGATGATGATACAACATGACGGGAGAATGATGAACGCAAATGACTGATTTGACACGGATTGATAGTTTAAATAAGATGAGAGAAATGGTAATACAGGTGGATATTATTATTTTATAATTTAGAAGAAACTTTTTGTATTATTTCATAGTAAATTCACAAGCACATGAACGCAAAAAAAAACGAGGACAACAATAAATATATCAATAAATATTAAACAAATCAGTTGTAAAAACGCGTTAAATGTTAGTTATAACTAATATTCTTTAAATGCCAGCCAATATTAATAATCATAAACTATAAAAGTAACATACAGATCAAACGAAATGAGATGAAACTATAAGAAAACAATAACAATTAGTCATTATGTATAAACTGAGAGGGGCAACTCATCTAAAATATAAACATCACAACGTCACACTCCCGCTTAAAATCGCAAAAACATCGCATCCTTATACAACACTAAAAGAGTTTCATCAATTTGAAGAAAAATCCCAGGCAGATGCCTGAAGCAAAACAACTTGCAATGGTTAGGAAGGAGAGTATTGACAGCAGACTAATTCCTGTTAACCCATGTCCGCTGTTGTAATGCAAATGTTTAAGATGTTATCAACTAGTCCATTAAGTTAAATGTTAGAATGTATTAATGTAAAGTAGAAAACATCAACATGAAAATCTCACTACATAAAAAGCAAGAATCATCAAGGTTGACATCACTTGTAACGACAGAAAAAATGTATACAAAACAAATTAAAACATCAAGACATGAAAATAATGAAGAATCAACCTAGTACAACCACCAGCAATTCGAGCTCCCATGTGCATTACAAACCCACCGAGGAATGCTCCCAATGAATTTATAACTTTGCCTGTCCCTAACGTACCTGATTGACTGGCTGATAAGTAGCTACCGAACACAGCTGTTGCCACATAGATCACCTGATTCAAGATCATCGATTTAAGTTGTACCACCCATCTTTCTCGGATGGCTAGCTTTCCAACCAACTAATTGTTAATAAATAAACAAAAAACAAAAGTAAACATTTCACAATTCACACACCTGCCACCAAGTCTCAAAGGAAAAGTTGTTTTGGAATTTAGCTGCATATGATGAAAAACCTTTCAGTGGACCGACAAACAGTTGGGACTCTACCACAACGAGACAACTGCTACCACTGAGACTTTTTTGAACAATTAGTACCAGAGGTATCTGAATGATACCCAACAGAATTCCACAAAAGTAAGGTGGCCATGGATAGGAAGACAATGATGATGCTTTTGTAACTGGAAGCTGAAATTAGTGTATGTTTTTTTTTGCAACATGATGCTACCAATTAGTTGCCACAAAATAATTTACTTTACATTCATTACAAAGTTCCTTTTACAATTTGAAAAGTCAACAGAAACTTTTCAAAAATATCTTAAATGATAACAAAAATTGTTAACATTGGAATCAATGTGGAATGGGATCAGTGTTTCGAATGCACACACCAATACTCCAAACATGGCTGCCAATGGTAGAGCCAGTGGAAAATATGGAGACTTCATCCATCTGAAGAAAAAAAAACAATAAATTTTTGTATAAGATTTTTGGAAGACAATGGGAACAAATAAAATAATTAAATATTAAATCTGGAAACTAACAGGTTTTGCGTGGTTGAGGTAGTAGATAACAGAGAGGAATCAATACTTGGTTTCATGATGATGAATACAAAAACTGCTGTAAAAGACCCAAGCAGTATATAACCTGTATTTTTAGTTTTGTATTTACATGAAATTCATCTGAATAGGTGACAAATTAAATAACATTTCAACCTGAATTTGGGATCATTGCTCCAAATTGCAAAAACACTGATGTTGGACACTTTAAATCAATATTCATTATCGTTATATATCAATAAATAAAACTATTTACAGTCAGTGGCAGATCTAGGTCAGTAATAAAAATCTTTTTTTTAACAGAAATATCAATGTTTTATGCCGAAAATCGATCAAAAATGGTCAGAAAAAAAAGACAATTAGCTATAAATAAACAAAATAAATAATAAACCAAAAAAAGATCATTAGCTACACTACAACAAATGTTGGCCCCACCATCAAAATTTTGACCCCCGTCAAAGTTGTCTAGATCCGCAATGTTACATAATCATTTCTTCATTCGGTATGGATTATTTAAAATCAATATCTTGTGTATGTTACTCTTTAAAATTAACTATGAAGAGAAATTATTAAAAAATTGAACTTAAAAAAATCCATAAAAATGTGAATATGTGAATGATCGTAAGGCGGCACCTACAGAGCCAGTTAGAGTCATTCCGCACCCCATGAGTAAACCGCCAATGACGCTTGACCAGATTGTGTGGGAAGATAACTTTGTGAAAAATTCAGCACTGACCGATCGAAAAGCTTGGTTTGTCTGAGGCAACATTGACAAGATTGACATTGAAAACATGCCTGTGGTCGAAAAAATAATATCTTAAAAAGGGATAGATTATTATCTAAAATGTTGAAAACTATAATAAAAGAAAAGATAAATAATTCTCACTGGTTGACAATGCAGTCAGAAAAAACTTAAGCATGGTGAATTGTTTGAAGATCATTTGATTTTGGATGACACCTGGATCTGTGACTAATTGCAAATGAATTTTAAACGTTAAAATGAAAAAGCAAGATATATGAAATCTAGAAATACAAGTGACATTATTATTTAACATTTAACATTATTATTTTAATGAAGCTGTCTGTTCTGTAGCCATTTATTTTAAATTGTAAATCCAAGTTAGAAAGATTTTATAAATAAGTAAACTTCTTTAATAGAATGAGATAAATAAAAGATTTATTGGGATTTATTTGATATGTGAAACATCCTATTCCATAAATTTTTGATTAATGAATTATTATATACAAAAAATAAGTTGAAATAGGTTACACACATTGCTCATTGCTGGAGTTCAAGTAAAAGTTGGCATCATTTTTTATTTTTTGCTGAAACATTGTGTAATAAAATATTAAAACTAATAAAATTGAGTACATCAAAATCAAAAAAAGGTGCATAAATTTATTCACAAATTGCAGACTGCACAAAAATTACGACTTTTCATGAAAAAAATTATTAACAAATTGAAAGAAAAATTCTTTCAATTCAAATTCCAACCAGAGCCTCTTTGCATGGCATATCCAAAGAGGATTCCACACAGAATGCATGTAACTATTTTAATTGGCACTGGAAATGTAAATGATGTAGCCAATTTTTTGTTGTATTTCTCGTCCCCCCTGGGTCTTGCCTGTTCAGTAGACGTCATCGGTAATCTCGGAGACGGCAAAGTGGTTTTTCCAGCAATATTTATTTATAGTCAACAGTTTAAAGAGACTCATAAGTTCCTCCCACGGTACAACTAAAGGTTAAACTAAATAATAAAAGCTTATAATAAAAGTTAAAAATAAAAATTTTAAACCAATTTTTACTAGAAAAACCACAAAACCTCTATAAAGTTATAAAAATATGATACATTACAAAATGTATAACAAAATTTTAAACGTATCTGTTAAAAAGATAGTTTCACTTTTAAAACAAATTATTAATTTTTAGAAACTTGATTCCAGAGGTAACTTGCCGTTGAAAAAAATTTTCAATGTTAAAACGCAGGTAGGGCGCTTCCAGTTATATAATTCCATGATTTTTACTTCATAATCGACGGATAGATCTATTTAGTTTTAGAAATTGAACTATAACATTATGTTGTATGAATTATTCTTTTCTTCGTTAAACGTTTTTCATTCATGTTTTTCAATTTTAAAGTCATTAACATTTAAAAATTAAAATTCTTCAAAAATAGGCTTATTTTTTTAAATTTTTACTTCATAACCGGCGGGTAGATCTATTTAGTTTTAGAAATTGAACTATAACATTTCTCAACGGGTACAAAGCAAGGGGAGGCCTATTTACCAGCATACAACACCTTCTTATGGGTTGAAGCAGAGATATGCAAAGAACCTCAATTTTTTCAACTTTTAATTATTTTCAGTAATGTCTCCCTTTGCTCCAAACCACATAACTAGAATAATAGGACTAATCGATCAATTCGATCTATCGGTCGGGCTATTTGTCGTGCTTGGATTGTTGGCTTACGAAATTGCATGGATTTTAACGAGCAAGCTAAATGAGATATTTACTTGATTTAATATGCTTAAAACATTGTAGTAATTCTATTTAATTTTAATAATGATTAATAGAATTATGTATTATTAAATTATTTTTGTTAATTTGAATATAAAAATTGCTTTTGGTCCGGTGAAATCCGGTGGCTTACTGAAGCTGAAGGTTGGCTTAGTAGGATTGAACTATAGTCACCCTTTTTTTTACACTATTCGATCATGTTAAAAATTGGTTTGCTTATGAAATAAACGGCCTAAATAAATCAAAATTGTTATTTGAACAACTATCTTCATTATATTCAATGAATATTTTACATTCTGCTGGTGCTCATAAGAAACTGGCTGCTGAAATCATACGTTGGCTTACAGCAGTGGCTTACAGGGTTTCATAGAACTCTTACCATAGCACTTTTTTGTACATATAACATATAATGCTTTAAATAAATCAATATATTCATATCACAATTATTTTTGTCAATATAAATATAGAAATTGCTTTTGTCAGGTGAAAAACAGTGGCTTACTGAAGCCGTAGGTTGGCTTAATCGGATTTTTTCTCATGTACACAATACTATGAGATAAATCAATCAATCAAGCAATCAGTCAGTCGGTCGGTCAGCCAGCCAGCCAGTCATATATGTATATATATATATATATATATATATATGTATATATATATATATATATAAAGTAGGAGAGAGAGAGAGAATGAGACAAGGGGTATGCGTAAAAAACAAACGTTTCAATAAATAGATAAAAATATACAATACACATACACGCACACACACACATACGCACACACACACACACACACATATATATATATATATAT